TAGCAAAATAAGCAGGATGCTTAGGCTGCTTCTGAGCATCTGGAACAGCACAGTTAAGTTGGTAGGAAGGGTCAACTGCCCAGCAGAGAGGCCATCATCCAGCTCCTCATGGCTTCTCTCTTCCCAAGAGAACCAAAGTTCTAGGACACGGTGCCCAAACCTGCTCATCAGTTCTGGATACATCAGGAAGAACCTGAGCAGGAGGTAGTGGTGGGTGTAGACTAGGTGCAGGTCTGGGACGCCCTCTAGGAATTTTCTGATTGCACTGATCACAGCCTGGAGGTAAAACAGAACAAAAAACAAAGGAGTTAAATACACTTTGCAGAGGACCTAAGAGACCCCCAACATAGCCAAGACTTAACTGGGAAAAATATACCAGCATCTCAGTATTCCAGAACATTTAATTGGCTCATGAGGGACTCAGCCTCTTTTTTTTCTTTTTTGAAGTTTATTTTGAAGTTTTTCATGAGAGAGAGAGAGAGAAGAAAAGATAGTCACCACCCTCAACAGGGCTCTGATGTCAGCTGCAGCCAGCCCTGGATTATGGGCAGGCACCCCAGCATACTCAGGGAGGTATCCAGATGCAAACCTTCAACCCTCCCATATAGGTCAGCCTCACAGAGTGTTGCATTTAAACATAGTATCATGGTCCAGGCCCTTGGCCTCTTTTCTGCCATGACTCACGTGATAATATTATATATGCAACACACTCCAACAAGCATACCTAGAATTGTTAGAAACTCCATGCTCTTTTTTTAGAGACAGATTTTTGCTATAGGGCTCGTGTGCTTGCTGGAGAGGCAGAGAGAGACAGAGAGACAGAAAACAAAAAATTGCCCCCAGGGCGGATGACCACACTGCAATCTCTTCTCCTCCATTTTCCTCTAAAGATTTTGGGCATGCATGCACACGCTTCTGGTGTGAGTTTTAAGCCACCAGGTCCAGGACTTGAGCCGCGGTTGACGATGTGGAAGTCCAGTAACATAAATATTACACCAGCTGCTGGTACCATGCTTTTTTATGAAGTAAGACATTATGATAATTCCCATCAGATACATCAGTCATATAAGGTGAGTTGCCCATTGCCTGCAGTATTCACTGGATCATCCTAAGGCACTCTAGTGAGAAAACCACATGGTGCTAACCATACAACACTAGTTTTTAATTGTGATTTTGCTCCCCAGGGGACATATGGTAAAGTCTGGAGACATTTTTTAATATCGTGATTGGGGGAAGTACCACTGGCATCTAGGGGGAATAGAGCAGGGATGCTGTAAATATTCCACAATGAATGAGAAAGCTTCCCACAGAAAAAAAGAATTATCCACTGCAAAATGCTAATAGTGCTGAGCTGAGGAGCCGAGCTCTGGGATGATACTTAGCATAGTATGTTGTAGTTGTCAGCGTGCACATCTGCTTCCACATTAGACTGAAAGCTGCTCAGAGCAGGGACTGTGGCAGAATTATCTGTGCATCTGGCATAGGCCCTGGCACAGGAAGGGTGAAGGGAAGTACGTTGAATCATGTATTAACCCTCAAAAACCTATCTCGGGACTAGCAGATGGCATAATGGCTACGTCACTGGACTCTCATGTAGTTGACCATGGTTTGAGTCCTGGACCCGCCAACTTAAAACTCATGCCGGGTGCGTGTGCATGCGTGCCCAAGATCCCAAGAGGAGAATGGAGGAGAAGGAGTTGTGGCTTAGTCATTCCCTCAGGGGGTGATTTCTTGTTTTCTATCTCTCTGTCTCAATCTGTCTCTACAGTGAGTGCATGCGCCCTATACAAAAAATCTGTCTTACAAAAAACAACAACAACAGGGAACCAGCAGTTAGTGTACTGGCTATGTCGCTGGACTCCCACGTAGTTGACCGCTATTCGCATCCCCGACCTGGTGGCTTAAAACTCACGCCGGGCGCGTGTGCGTGCGTGCTCAAGATCCCGAGAGGAGAATAGAGGAGAAGGGATTGTGCTTAGTCATTCCCTCAGGGGGTGATTTCTCGCTTTCTGTCTGTCTCTCTCTGTCTGTCTGGTGAGCGCACGCGCCCTATAGCAAAAACCTCTCCAAAACAACAACAAACCTAACCTATCTCTTCCCATTGCACATATAACAACCTTCAAATTCCTTAGTATGCTATTCTAAGTTCGGTGTTTTGTTTTTGTTTTGCAGTTGACCACATGGGAGTCCAGCAATGTAACCATTATGCCATCGGCTGATCCCTAATTAAAGAATTTTAATTAAAGAATTTTTTTAAAGAATAATTTTTATTGGGACCAGCATCTGGCATAATAGCTATGTTACTGGACTCCCATGTAGTTGACCGCAGTTTGAGTCCTGGACCTGGTGGCTTAAACTCACAACAGGCACCTGTGTGTGCATGCCCAAGATCCTGAGAGGAGAATGGCCTGGCCATCCCCCCGGGGGGTGATTTTTTCTCCTTCTTTCTCTCTGTCTCTCTCTGTCTTTCTGGCAACAAGGGCACCCGCCTAAAAGCAAAAACCCCTCCAAAAAAAAAAAAAAAAAAAGAAGAAGTATGTTTATTTAACTTTATTTGTTTAAATTTGACCAGAGGGGGACAGAACAAGTGAGCAAGAGAGAGAGAGAGAAAGTGAGAAAGGAAGTCATGGGGTCTGGGAATCGAGCCATAGTCAGCCATGTGGGAGTCCAGGACCCTTAACCACCACACCACCTTTTAATAAAGGGGCCAGCAGGTCATGTGATGATTAAGGGCACTGGACTCTTATATGGCCAACTGCAGTTTGAGTCCCAAAACTGGCGGTTTGCTTTCTCACTTCCCCCTCTCTCTTACTCTTGCTCTATCTCTCTCTGGTCAAATTTAAATAAATAAATAAAGTCAAATAAAATGATTCTTTAAAAAAAAGAATTTTAATTAAAAAAATTAAACAGTGATGTTTTGAAATTATCACTATGTAAGTCCTTATATCTTTTGTTAAGTTTATTCCCAAATATTTCATTTTTTGTTGCTAATGTAAATAAAATTGCTTTTTCTACTTTCATTTTCAAGCAGGCTATTAAAGACTTAAGCCTTCCTTTCGGCTCCTCTCCACTCTACCATCCATGTCTCAGGTCTCCTTCCTTGAATAGATAGACTGGGCAACTTCCCATTCCAGCATCTTAAATCACACTCTGCTCTCAGCTAGTCAATTCTCCCTTCATCTCTTCCACTTCCTCTGTAAGCTGTTCCTGATGCCATCATTGGACACAAGTTCACTGTGCCCTGGAAGCTCTCGACAAGTCCTCCGGTTCCAGGAAAGCACTCACTGCTGCAGGTGCCTGTCTTGCAGACCTTTTGATCCATCCTGGCAAATCAGTGCTCTCTCAGGGCAAGAAATTTGTCTGATTCATCCTAAACCTGAAAAAGCTCCATGTGGCACCTAGCAATTTTGTCAAATGGTTAATCCACATTGTTGTTAAAATGTTGAGAAGCAAATAAACCATGTGCACTGAGTAGTGTTCAAGGGCTTAGAAAATGCTGGTCAAACTGAAATGAAGTTGTTAAAAACAAAGAGCTTCCAGCTACTCTGAAATGTCCACCTCACCAGTGACACTCACACTTCAGTTGTAAGGGGTCCTTGTACACGCACCAGTCCATCTTCTCCACTGCTTCCCACAAGAACTAGAGGACTGTGAAAGTCAGAAGGGATCTCAAAGACAACTCTGCCCTAACCCATTTACCGTTGGATGGCAAGACCAAGGTCCCAAATCCTTAGAAACATTTTTGTTTTGCTGGGTTTTTTTTTTTGGGGGGGGGTATTTGTTTGTTATTATTGCTTATTTATTTTTATTAATTGAGAGAGAGATACAGGTACCTCCCCCCAAAAGGGCTGTCCTGCCACTATCCACTCTAGTCTCAGCATGCCCAGGGAGGTCCCAGGACATGAATCCAGGACCTTTCCCATGTGGGTGCAGTTGCAGTACCACAGCACCATCACCTGGCCCACTAGAAACATCTTTTTTTTTTTTTTTTTAAAAAGGTTTTTGACATAAGGTGTATATGTTCTCCAGAGAGAGACAGTGAGATGGAAAACAAGAAATCACTCCCCAGGGGGGATGACCACATCACCATCCTTTCTCCTGCATTCTCCTCCTGAGATTTTGGGCATGCATGTACACACACCCAGCATGATTTTCAAACTATTAGGTCTGGGACTCAAACCATGCGGAAGTCCAGCACCTAAACCACTATGCCACCTATGCTGGCCCTAGAAACATCTTTTTATTCTCTCTTATAATCACAACTCACATCTGATCCATAAAGAAATCCTATAGGTCCCATCTTCAAAATATATCTTGGGGCTGGCAGTTGGTATGGTGGTTAAAGTTGCTGGATTCCCATAGGGCCAATCATGGCTCAAGTCCTGGACCCGGTGGCTTAAACTCACGCCGGGCGCGTGTGTGTGCCTGACCAAGATCCTGAGAGGAGAATGGAGGAGAAGGGATTGTGGCATGGCCATCTCCCCTGGGGGGTGATTTCTCACTTTCTGTCTCTCTGTCTTTCTCTGTCTTTCTGGCGAGCATACCCACCCCGCAGCAAAAAACTCTTAAAAAAATAATAATAATAAATGAAAAAAAAAAACATATCCTGAGGCTGACACTTTTCATTCCTTCTTGGCTATCTATTGCTACATTATTACTGTAGCTTCCTAACTGGTTTCTCTGCTTCTACCCTTGAACCCCTTTACTGCATGAGATCATCAAAGCAACAAGTGCAGACAGGAAAGTAAAGCAAAGACTCACCCCTGGGGCACAACCACAGGGGAGATGACGGAAGACTAGCAAATTACAGTGACACAGAACTTGCCTGCAAGGAAGGGAGAAAACCATGACTTTGTGGCATTCCAGATACTAAGGAAGAGCAGTATTTAAAAAAAAAAAAAGTGCTACAGACAGATCAAGTAAGATGATCATAAAATATGATGACTAATTGTAGCCATGTGTTGGTTGTTGGTGAATCTGTTAAGTACATTTTCAGAGATGTGGTAGGAGTGAAAAATCTAACTGGGAAAGGTTCAAGAGAGAATGGGAAAACAGGAAATATGTAAAACAAGCCTTAAGGATCTCATCATATTTGGAGCAAGCAGGTAGCATGGACGTTAAGGCACTGGATCCACATGGTAGACTTAAATAGTTTGAGTCCTGGACCTGGTGGCTTGAAAATCTGAAGGAGAAGGGGTTGTAGAGTGGTCCTCCCCCTGGGGGATGATATCTTACTTCTCTTCTCTCTCTGTCTCTGGTGAGCACATACACCCTATAGTAAAAAAAAAAAAAAAAAAAAAAAAAAAGAGGAAAACAAAACCCCTATTAAAAAAAAAAAAAAAAAAAAGCTACAAGGATTGTAACAAAAGGACTTAGGAGTCTCCTGAATAGGCTCCCAATGACCAAAGATAAGATAATTTGTGCCTTAAAAAGCTAACAGCTACATTGGACTAAAACATATCCAGTATTCTATCCATGAGTTCATGATATTTAAAAAAATAAACTCTTTGGTCACCTGTGGAAGATGTTAAATACCAACCTAAAAACAACAACAACAAAAACTAATAATTTAGGGGGAACAATTAATATTTAACCTACACTTTCTATGCAATCCAATCCCAGAGTAACTGAATGATTAATGAGGGGAAGTTTTTCCTTTTATACAAATATTTCAGTTAATAAACAGAGAACTATGGAAATAGAATATAATTATTGTGTAGTCCCTAATGAATTAATGTATCTAGACAATGATCACTAATGCTGCTAATATCACAAAAAGAAAGCTTTCTTTTTTTTTTTTTTCAATGCTTCTGTCATAGGGCACGTGTACTTGCCAGAGACAGAGGAAAAGAGAAAAATCACTCTTCAGGAAGAATGGTCATGCAGCAATCCCTTCTTCTCCATTCTCCTCTCAGGATTTTGGGCATATAGTCACATATACACGTTGTGATTTTCAAGCCACCAGATCTGGGACTCAAACCACAATTCAGTGCCTTAACCACTGTACCACCTGCTAGACCCAAAAAGATCTTTTTAAAGAATGCTGTGTGCCCAGCTGTGTCTTACTTGAAAGCCCATGCATTCCACCATAATTCCTGTTTCTGTTTAAATTAAACCAGCTCTGCTTGAATCACATTTGCCCCAATAGTAATAAAAAAAAGAGACAAAACTATAGTCAGTGAAGGAAGAAGACCTGTAAATTGGGCCTCAAGAGTCTATAGCTAAAGAGTAGAAGTGATCTTCTATGAAATAAGTGAGATTCAGTGATGAACTAGACACTGTCCTCAATCCCCAGGAGTTTATAATGAAGCTGGAGAGGGACCAGCAGTTAGCGTAATGGCTATGTTGCTGAACTCCCATGTAGTCGACAAGCAGTTGAGTCGCAGACCCGGAGGCTTAAACTCACGCCAGGCGTGTGTTCACGTGTGCCCAAGATCCCGAGAAGAAAATGGAGAGAAGGGATTGTGGTGTGGCCACCCCCCCAGAGGGTGATTTCTCGCTTTCTGTCTCTCTGTCTTTCTGGCGAGCACACATGCCCTATAGCAGAAACCTCTCCAAAAAAGAAAAAAAACGAAACTGGAGAGAGGAACCAGCAGTTGGAGTAATGGCTATGTCACTTGACTCCCATGTAGCCGACCACAGTTTGAGTCCCAGATTTGGCTTAAATTCATGCTGGGTGTGTTCGCATGTGTGCCCAAGATCCTGAGAGGAGAATGGAAAAGGGATTGAAGTGTGGCCACCCCACCCCCTAGGGGGTGATTTCTCACTTTCTGTCTCTGTCTGTCTTTCTGGTGAGTGTACACGCCCTATAGTAAAAAAAAAAAAAAAGAAAGAGAAAAAGAAAAAGAAAGAAAGAAAGAAGCTGGAAAGAGAAAACTTGTACACACACAACCAGCATCAATATGATTAACAATGACCTGGGTCCTAGCAATCCACTTCATTTGATAAACTGTTACCAGGAGATAAAATACCTCACAGGCCAAAGGTGGTACCAAGGGAAGACCCTTGGGAGTCGTCAAGTCTGAGTTGGAGTCCTGACTCCCCCATCAATTAACTATGTGACTTAGAGAACATTACTTTAACTTTAGTCTCCATTGTTTTTTCTATTAAATGGAAATACAGTAATAATTTCTGCCTCTCAGGACCATTGAGAGAATTAACTAAATTATACAGGCTCTGTATGTGTCAGCACCTTTCTCTTAAAAGTCCCACTCTGTCTCTCTGCCAGTCCCCTGGTCTACAAATATATCATCACAGCCTCCCTGAGGACATTAATATGAAGAGGTGGAGCAGCCAGAGGAGCGCAGGCATTGGGATCCATACCTCGTCCGGTTCTCTGTCTTTGCCCTGACAAATTGCAAGCAGGTAGATGGAGGCTCTGAAGACCACCGGTGGGGGGTGCTCGCCCTGGTCCTGCAGGGACAGGAGGAAGCTTTGCACAGCCACAAACAATTCTGCCTCTGAGACAAACCTGTTGACCAAGGAGAGCCTGAGTGAGAAAGACAGAGCTGGCAGGCCAGTGGGCTCCTCTAGCCTGCCTGGTCACATCATCCCTGAACCCATTGTCCTGCCTCTGCATGCCCATAGTCTAATGATAATTTGCTTTTTTTTTTTTTTTTTTTTTTGGAGAGATTTTCACTATAGGGCCTGTGCGCTCGCCAGACAGACAGAGAGAGACATAGAGACAGAAAGCGAGAAATCACCCCCCAGAGGAGATGGTCACGCCGCAATCCCTTCTCCTCCATTCTCCTCTCAGGATCTTGGGCACGCACGCACACGCGTCCGGCGTGAGTTTTAAGCCACCGGGTCCAGGACACGAACCATGGTCGACTACGTGGGCGTCCAGCGACATAGCCATTACACTAACTGCTGCTTCCCCTAATGATAATTTGCAGTATCCTATCTATTTTTACAAAACATCATCACACTTACCCATGACATGGTTCTATGCCTCATGCAAGGCTCTGTTAGGAGAGAGAGACTCCTCACTCACACTTGGGAGGTAAGGAATCTACAAGCTGGATTTGCGTTGCTAAAGAGAAGGGTGCTGTGTTGGGTGGCATGGTGGTTAAGGTGCTGGACTTCACACATGAGAAACCACAGTTTGAGCCTCAGATCTGGTGACTTGAGAATCACACTGGGTGTGTGTTTGTGTGGGGTGATTTCTCACTCTTGCCCTCTCTGTCTTTCTTTTTCTCTCTCTGGTAAGGGCATGCACTCTACCAAAAAAAAAAAAAATTTCTCACTCTTGCCCTCTCTGTCTTTCTTTTTCTCTCTCTGGTAAGTGCATGCACTCTACCAAAAAAAAAAAAAAAATTGTGCTATTTCTGGGGAACAGGAGGCACTGCATTAGTAGGTGGTCCATCCCTCTCTTAATATTTATCATTAAATGGTGGTGTGTTCAATGGCCTACTTTCTGTGAGGGTGGTGGTGGGGTGTATATGCCAAGGGTTTGGGGAGTGAGAAGGAAGCTAACTTTTCACTATTACCATTTGAATTTTCTTCCACAGGTATGTCTTGCCTATCAGGTTAAGTACCCCCAAAAAATGACCATTTAAAAAATGGGTACCATTGGGAACCAGCAGTTAGAGTAATGGCTATGTCGCTAGACTCCCACGTAGTTGACCACGGTTTGCATCCTGAACCCGGTGGCTTAGAACTCACGCCGGGCACATGTGCATGTGTGCCCAAGATCCCTAGAGGAGAATGGAGGAGAAGGGATTGTGGCATGACCATCCCCCCTAGGGGGGATGTTTGTCTGGCGAGCGCAAGTGCCCTATAGCAAAAACATCTCAAAAAAAAAAAAAAAAAACACCCCCTACCAAGGGTGATTTAAAAAAAAAAAAAGGGTAACATTTGGGCCAGCCGGTGGTGTGGTAATTATGGTGGTTGGATCCCATATAGCTGACTATAAGGCAGCAGCTTGAAAAACCCACTGGGCACATGTGTGTGCATGCCCCAAATCCCAGAAGAATGAAGGAGAAAGGATTATGGCATGGCCATCCCCCCTGTGGAGTGATTTTTCTCTCTCTCTATCTGGCAAGCACATGTACCCTATAGCAAATTTTAAAATAATTTTTTTAAAGAATTATTTTATTTAACTTCACTTATTTGTTTATTTTAATTTGACCAGAGAGAAACAGAGTGAGCAAGAGAGAGAGAAAGCGAGAAAGCAAGTTGCCACGTCTGGGACTTGAACCATGGTCGACCATGTGAGAGTCCAGCACCCTTACCACTATGCCACCTGCTGGCTCCTAAAAGTAATTTTTAAATTAAAAATAGATAACATACTTGGAGCCAGAGGTGACATGATAGTTAAGGTGCTGGACTTCCATATGGCCAACTGTGGTATTTGGCAATTTGAAAATCATGCTGGGCCCATGTGTGTGTGCACACACCCAAAATCCCAGGAGGAGAATGGAGAAGAGATATCAACATGACCATCCTGTACGGATTTCTCACTTTTCCTCACTATCTCTGTCTCTCTCTGGCAAGCACACATACCCTATGGCAAAAACCTTAATTAAAAAAAAAAAAGGACACCACTCAATGCAATGTGATATCCTGTGTTGTATCCTGGAACAAAAATGGGACATTATAGGAAAAACTAGTGAAATCTGAATAAAGTTTAATTAACAGTAACAAACCAATCCTTGTTTCTTACTCTTTTTGTTTGTTTGTTTGTTTTTTGTTTGTTTGTTTGTTTTTGGAGAGGTTTTCGCTATAGGGCGCATGCGCTCGCCAGACAGAGACAGAGACAGAGAGACAGAAAGTGAGAAATCACCCCCCAGGGGGGATGGCCACACCACAATCCCTTCTCCTCCATTCTCCTCTCAGTATTCTGAGCACGCACGCACATGCACCCGGCATGAGTTTAAGTTACTGGGTCTGGGACTCGAACCACGGTTGACTATGTGGGAGTCCAGTGACACAGCCATTACGCTAGCTGCTGGTCCCCATTTTCATTATTTTTAATAACAAAAAGGACTTGGAGAGATTTTCACTATAGGGTGCGTGCGCTCACCAGACAGACAGAGAGAGACATAGAGACAGAAAGCGAGAAATCACCCCCAGGGGGGATGGCCACACTGCAATCCCCTCTCCTCCATTCTCCTCTCGGGATCTTGGGCATGCACACACACCTGCCCGGCATGAGTTTTAAGCCACCAGGTCCGGGACACGAACCACGGTCAACTACGTGGGAGTCCAGTGACATAGCCATTACGCTAACTGCTGGTTCCCCCCGTTAATTACTCTTGACAGAAGTTAATATTAGGGGAAAACAGATGAGTGGTATAAAAGAACTCTCTATATTCTTTGCAATGTTTTTATAACCTAAAATTACTCTAAAATAAAATGCTTTTTTAAAAAATAAAAATAAAGGCCAGCAGGTGTCATGGTAGTTGTAGAAACTGGATCTGGCATGGCCAACTGTATGGACAGAGACCCAGACCTAGCAGCCTGGGGAATATACTGGACATATTGTGCATGTCCAAAATCCTGAGAGGAGAATGAAGGAGAAGAGGCTGCAGTATAGCAGTCACTCCTGAGTGGTGCTTTCTCACTTCCTCTCTCTCCTTTCTGTCTCTCCAGTAAGTGCATGCACCCTATGGCAAAAACTTATAGCAAAAAATAAACAACATAAAACAAAATGGATAACCATACCACTATGCAGCTACCAGAATAGGTAGATTCATTAATACATACATTGACATGAAAAGATGACCAAGATATACTATTAGATTTAAAAGCACAATGAAGGGCCCACAGGTGGCGTGGTGGTTGAGGGCACTGGATTCCCACATGGACAATCACGGCTCAAGTCCCGAACCTGGCAACTTGCTTTCTTACTTTCCCTCTCGCTCTTGTTCTGTCTCTTTCTGGTCAAATTAAAATAAAATAAATAAATAAAGTTAAATAAAATAATTATTTTTTAAAAAGGCACAATAATGGGCAGGCAGGTAGTGTGGTAATTGAGGGCACTGGACTCCCACATGGCTGACCATGGTTTGAATCCTGGACCTAGCAGCTTGCTTTCTCACTTTCCCTCTCTCTTTCTCACTCTGTCCCTCTCTAGTCAAATTAAAATAAATAAATAAAGTTAAATTTAAAAACACACACACACACACACTTAGAAATTTGTTTTTACAAAGCACAATGAGGGGGGCTAGCAGGTGATGTGGTGGCTAGACTCTCACATGGTCAACTGCGGTTCAAATCCTGGACCTGGTGGCTGGAAAATCATGCTGGGTACATTTACATATGTGCCCAAGATCCCAGGAGGAAAAGGGAGGAGAAGGAATTGCAGCATGGCCATCCGCCCTAGGGAATGATTTCGTACTTTCCTTCTCACTATCTCTCTCTCTGGCAGGCACATGCAACTTAAGGCAGAAACCTTAAAAAAAAAAAAAAAAAAAGGCACATTGAGAGTGGGACTTGTAACCTAGTAATTAAGGGAGCAAGATCCCACATGGTTGACTGTGTATCAAATCCTGGTACTTGGTGACTTGAAAACCACACTGTGAGCACATGCATGTGCTGACTGGATGGAGAAATGGAGGAGGGATTGTGGCATGATCATGCCCCATGGAGGTGTTTTCTCTCCCTTTTTTCCTCCCTAGTCCCTCCTTCCCTCCTCCCTCTCTCTCTCTCTGTTTCTGCCAAGTGTATGTGCCTTCTGGCAATTAAAAAATGAATGCCTTACATAATATCTTACTGTGTACACTAAAAACAAGATGTATGGCCCGCCCCGGGTGGCTTGAGAAGGGGGGTATTGCTGTGCGGTGGCTGAGGCTCCATGAATTATTTATTGAACTACTGAATTGAGCTATAGATGAGGGTCTCAGGACCACTGCCACCTGTTGGCTCTGGCCACAGACCTGTCTTCATGGATGTAGGCCAGGTAAAAGAGGAACAGGATGCAATACTGTCTCTGGCGAGCAGCTCCTTCCACATCCTGGCAATCTGACAGGAAGGCAAGGCTTTCAGGGATCCTGCTGTTTATCTGGGGCAGCCCATACTGCAGGAGCTCAGACACTGCAGCAAACTCTGTAGAGGAAGCAAGCCGGGGAAGTCACCCAGAAAACAGAAGAACAGGTCATGAGTACCTACTATATGAAGAGTTCTGCATAGTGCAAGGGGTTCTGTGATACAGAAGGAAATAAGAGACACTTTCTCCTTTATGCAGCTTTCAACCCACCTGGAGAGACTAAAGTTAACAGGTAGAATAATATGGACATTTCTCAAAAACACTACATTCATTTATTTATTTCACTGACAAATATTCACTGGCAGCTATTCTAGGCCAGGCTGTGGGATCTGGGTTCCACCTCCAGGAGGTGGCAGTTGGTAGGAAGAGACAGATAATGACACAGTCAGCTGCAGGACATGTAGTCAGTATCATGCTCCAGTGTGGAGGAGGGGGTGATTGGGGTTGCCTGAGGTGGGGAAGGCAAGCTCAAAGAGGAGGAAGCTGTGGAGTGTAAGCAGAATACTGCAAGCAGTACCTATCCTTCCCCAGCATGTTACAGAAGCTCAATAAATATTCAACAAAAAGCAGGCCACCAGATGGTATGGTGGTTAAGGAACTGGATTCCCACATGGCTTACTGCAATTTGAGTCCCGTACTCGGTGGCTTTAAAATCACACTGGCCAAGTGTGCATGCATGCTCAAAATCCCAGGAAGAGAATGGAGCAGAAGGTATTGCTGTGTGGCCACCCCACCAGGGAGTGATTTCTCACTTTGTCTCTCTCTGTCTCTCTCTTTCTCCCCAGTGAGCGCATGTGCCCTATGGCAAAATCTTTAAAAAGTTTGTTTTTTGTTTTCCAACAAAAAGAAGAGCTCACAGCTCTCAGCCCTTAACTGCTGGGCCTTCTGCCTAGAGTCTCCCTGGCCCTCCTTCACTCAATCAGACCTCTGATCAAATGCCACCTCCTCATGGAGGATTTGAGAGCAAGTTTTGTATCTCTAGCTATTCCACCAGCACTTGGAATAGAGTCTGGCACACAATAGATGCTCAAGAAATGCTTCAAAGGAATGAACAGGCTGTTGAAGCTATAATGAAGAACAGACTCCAGATGTGAACAGCAGAGAGGAGGCCAGGTATGGTAATACTGCAAAGGAGATGACTGGGAGGAAGGAACTAAACTTGATGAGCTTTAGGGTTATTCTCAGCTCTTAGAGTCTAAGATGCCAGGAGCCTGGCATTTTACTATATCACCTCCCTAACAATAAGCCTGTAATTCCATCATTCCATGATTCATTTGGGCAACTTTGAGCAAAGAATACTGACTCACTATCCAGCCAATCAGCAAAGCATCCAGAATCTAAAGACTACCACAGCCCTTGTAAGTGGTCAAACTGCGGCATCTTACCTTCTTGAGAAAGTGGCCTTGTCTTCTCTGGAGCTGAGAGGAGGTTAAGACACATGTGGTAGAGGAAACTGGAGCACTCCTGGTTTAGGGCTGCATGACTTAGAGGAAGAAGAGAGAACAAAAGAGATGACATTGCTACTTTACTTTGGACAGCAACACCCCTGCTATGTGCCTGGATACCACTGCTTTGTCCCAGAGCCCAGCGAAATTCTCACCTTGGCCTCAGGTGACTATGGAAAGTGAATATGGAACCTGCTGCCAACGATTGTAACTTGGGCACTTTGCCATACAGGCAAGCTTCACTAAAACTTTACTGAAAAAATAAATCAGGGAGGACTACTAAACTCCAATTTAACAAAATGTGGAAACAAAAACTGTCTGGGCCAGGAAAGAGCTAGATTACTAGAAAAAAGAGGAAACAGATGAACCCAAGATGGGTAGTAGTCAAGGAATACTACAAGTATCCAAAATGCTTATTTCTAATCCAGCTGGATGCCTGTGCTCTCTCCTGAACGTCGGGTGTTCTAGTCGAGGTTATGGAAGGACAGCTAGGCACCACACAATGCAGTTACCTTGCAGGCTGTGCGCAAGAACAAATAAATTTTCCTGGAAAATATAGAGACAGGTAACAAATCGAAAATAGGAAGGAACAGAGGCAGCTCTAGAACATTAACAAGACAGAGACTGAGGATGTGATCCCTCTACTTTGAACAAGAAAGCTTCTTCTCTAGAACTGCTGGGCTGGCAGCAACAAGAACTTGATGAATGCTTTACCCCACCCCTCTGAAGGCCTCGGTTTTCCAATTTAAATGAGGACTTAGACCAAAGTTATCTGAGCATCCCATCCAGTTTTGTTGCAACAGGTACCCATCTAAGTATCACCTGGAATGAGGATTTACCAGACCAGATTAAATACAGAAGAATGTCCAGCACATGCCACCAGTTGCTAAGTACTGCTGAAACTATATCAACCCATCGCACCAACCAGGAATTTCCACTTGTCCAATCAAGAAGGTGACCGAGGGGCCAGTAGGTGGTGTGGTGGTTAAGGTGCTGGACTCCCACAAGGAAAATCACGGTTTGAGTCCCAGACCTCAGCAATTTGAAAATCACGCCAGGCGCATGGGCATGATGCCCAAAATCCCAAGAGGAGAATGGAGGAGAAGAAATTGCAGCATGGCCATCCCCTGGGGGGAGGGGTCATTTCTCATTTTCCCTCTCTCTGTCTCTCTTCAGCGAGCACACATGGTCGATGGCAAAAACCTGAAGAAAAAAAAAGAAGAAGGTGACTGGCCCCTTGGCTGCTCAGATTTTCCTGGTACCATACATACCTCAGGCCACTGCAGAACCTGGCCTTCAGCTCCAGGGTCAGTCGTATGAAGGACGAGGCAGCTTAGGAGAAGTGGAAAGAAAGCAGAGGATTGTTTAAATCAGACTTAATACAGAGATTCTCGAGTCCAACTGTTAAAAAAAAGAGCTCTGTTTTCGAAATCATACAGATCTGGTTGAAAAATGCTCCACCTCTAATTGGGAAAGTTAACTTCTCTGAGACTTGGTTTTGATATTTGTACCTCACAGTATGTTGTAAAGCTAAGTAAGATAAATAGATGCAAAATGGGAGAGTTCATTAGAATATGTATGAGGAGCTGCCAATGGCATGGTGGTTAAGGCAGCTAGATCCCACGTGGCCAACCGTGCAGTTCAAGTGGCAGACCCAGTGGCTTGAAAAACACACTGGGCACATGCATGTGTATGCCCAGAATCTCAAGAGGAGAATGAAGGGAAAGGGACTATGGCGTGGCCATCCCTCCCAGGTGTGCTTTCTCACTTTCTTTCTCTCTGTCTCTCCAGTGAGTGCATGTACCCTATGGCAAAAAATTTTTTTAAAGTGAAAAGAAAAAAAAAATTATATGGAGAGGTTTTTGCTATAGGACAGATGCGCTTGCCAGAAATGCAGAGAGATAGAAAGTGAGAAATTACATCCAGGGGGGCATGGCCACACTGCAATCCCTTCTCTTCCATTCTCCTCTCAGGATCTTAGGCACGCCTTGGAGTGAGTTTAAGCCACTGGGTCCAGGACTCAAACTGTGGTTGACTACATGGGAGTCCAGTGATGTAGCCATTACGCCATCTGCTGGTCCTATGAAAAGAAAATTTATAATGAACACAAGAATGCATGTAGGGTAAGCTGATGGCATGGTGGTTAGGATGGTTGGATCCCACATAGCTAACTGCATGGTTCAAGTCTCAGACCTGGCAGCTTGAGGGACATGTGTGTGTGTGTGTCTGTGTGTGTGTGTGTGTGTGTGTGTGTGGTGTGCACATGCCCAAAATTCCAAAAGGAGAAATGGAGGAGAAGGTATTGCAGCATGACCATCTTCCATGGGAAAGTGCTTTCTTGCTTCTTTCTCTCTGTTTCTCTATGACAGGCACACACACTCTCTGATAAAAAATATATATATTTTTAGAGAGATTTTTTGCTATAGAGTACATGTGCTTGCTGGAGAGACAGGCAGAAAGTGAGTAATCATCCCCCAGGCAGATGGCCACACTGCAATTTCTTTTCCTCTTGAAATTTTGGGCACAGAGGCACACGTGCCTTGGGTGAGTTTTAAACCCTTGGGCTAGGACTTGAACTGAGGGTGACTATGTGAGAATCCAGCAACATAACCATTATGCCATCTGCTGGTCCCAGTCTGATCATTTTATAAAATAATTATTTATTTAACTTTATTTATTTATTTATTTGTTTTAATTTGACCAGAGAAGGAGAGAGAGAGAGATATATAGAGAGAGAAAGTAAGAAAGCAAGCTGCCAGGTCCAGGACTCAAACCATAGTCGGCCATGTGGGAGTCCAGCTAGCCCTGATAAATTTTTTTATAACAGAATGTATGAATATAAGAGGAAGTTGTTATGGGATGATATATCACAGCAGAGTAAAAAATATAGAGAATTCAATCCATATATTTGAAAAAAAATAGTGAAACTGTTAACAACTGTGCATAACATAATGTTCAGTGATGAAGGTGAATATGGGTACATACTTGATTTGATTATTGTACACTGGATATATGCCTTAAAAAAGATTCTGCTGGGCCCAGCAAATGGTGTAATAGTTATGTCGCTAGACTCCCACGTAGTCAACTGTGGTTTAAGTTCCAGACCCGGCAGCTTAAAACTCAGACCGGGCGCATGTGCATGTGTGCCCAAGGTCCTCAGAGAAATGAGGAAAAGGGACTATGGCATGGTCATTCCCATGGGGGGTGATTTTCTCACTTTCTGTCTCTCTATCTCTCTGGTGAGCACATATGCCCTACAGCAAAAATCTCTCTTTAAAAAAAGATCTGTAGCTCACAAAGATAGACACTAATTATATACACCAGAAATCATAATTAAAATTTAAAATTTTTTAAATCAATGTAGTATATCAAACAAGTACTTGGCTCAGAAAAAGTGCTGAATAAATGTTTATCTTCTTTCTTTGTGAATTATCTTCCACTACAGCCTGGTACATTTGACAACAACTTAGAAAGAACACACCTGCTCCTTCTATTCCTTACCCAGTTTTGTAGAAGATAATCCAGTTTCAGGGACCAGGCAGTAGTGAAGCAGTAACACAACTGCACCCATGTGGGAAAGGGTATGAGTGCACATTGCAGGACCTCCTTGAGCAGGCCAGGTATACACAGGTGTGCCCATGGCCCAGGCCGGCTGAGATGGGATGCACGACAACATGAAAACCCTAATGGGGAAGCCTTTCTCTCTGTTTTTAGCTGTCTCTTTCAAAAGGGAAGAAATAAACTTTAAAAATCCAAGTTCAGATTCAGGAAGAAAAGCAGTAGTCACTGCTACTGCTTTTTTTTTTTGTATGCTACAGCATTCATGCACTCACCTGACAGAGACAGAGTGTGTGAGAGAAAGAAGGAAAGGGAGAAAACACCACATGGAGGATGGTCATGCCACAATCCCTTCTCCATTTTTCCTTTTTTAGATTTTGGACATGCATCCAGAGTGTTTTTCAAGCTGCCAAGTCTAGGACTTGAACCGTGCAGTAGGCTATGTGGGATCCAGCCACTTTAACCACCACACCACCAGCTGGTCTAGCAGTTACAGCTTTCCCCCCATCTCTGAGCTGCCTGTGGGAAAGTGACTGGGTCTCACACCAGGGATCCAGTAACAGTTGCACTGGCTGGTAACGCTGGCCCAGGCCCTAAGCCCAAGCCCTTGCATTGCTGGGCTCCTCCCAGTTCTACCAGTAAGGTTCTCTGTCAATACTGAACTCTGTCCTGCCCACTGTGGGCCCTTGTATAAACAGGACCTTAGATAAGAGAACCTTCGCTTCACCAGCTCCAGGACTGGGATTTTCTATATTTTATGATAGGCCTAAATACCTGGCAGGAAATGAATCTCTCAGGGTTTCACAGCAACTCTCTGGGACAATAATTTAATCTATGACTCCCCAGGAAGGGACTCTCATCTTGCTTTCTAGAATAGCTCCTTTCAGCCTAGTCTCATGGAATCCAGTTTCTCCACCCAACCTCATTCTAGGTCTCTATTCCCCTCCTGGCTGGCGATGCCTGCTTCCCTCTTGTAAGATGAGCCTTGATCCTTTGCCACCCAATTTCATATGCACAGATGTCCTTAGTTTTGCTTGCAGCCAGAGATTTATACATCTGCATCCCATCTTGTACCCCAAGACGGGATCTTCTTGGATCTTGAAATACAGCAGGCAGAAGAAAATTGGAAAGAAAGAAATATAGGGACTGGCAGGAAGAGTGGTGGTTAAGGCAGCGGGACTCCCATCCCACGTGACCGACCGTGATTCAAGTCCCAGACCTGGTGGCTTACTTTCTTGCTTTCCCTCTCTTGCTCTGTCCCTCTCTAGTCAAATTGAAAAATAAGTAAAAAATAAATAAAGTTAAATAAAATAGTTCTTTAAAAAAAAAAAAAAGAAGTATGTATCAGTTATCACAATGACTGAGGGTACAGTCATTCAGGAAATCTATACTTATTATCTCATTTATTGGTCCAGCAGGTGGTATGGTAGTTAAGGAGCTAAATCCTACATGTTAAGTAGGGGGTTCGTGTCCCAGAACTGGCAGCTTGAAAATCACATCTGGCACAAGTGTATGCATACCAAAAATCTTGTGGAGCGAATGGAGACAGGATTGTGGCATGGCTATCCCACTGGGGGTTGATTTCTCACTTCCCTCTCTCCCCTCTCTCTCTGTCTCTCTCTGGCAAGGACAAGCACCTATGGCAAAATCTAAAAATAATAATAAAATTTTCATTATTATTTTTGTTCTCACTGAAGACATTGGCAATAAAAAAAATTAATTTGCCCGACATCAATAAACAAGTCAGAGCCAACCCTGTACAAAGCCTAGTGGTTAAGATAGATCTCACACGGCCAACAGTGGTTCAAATCCTGGCCCCAGTGGCTTGAAAAACATCCTAGGTGTGTGTGTTTGTACACCTAAAATCCCGTGGCAGGATGAAGAAATGGAGGAAAAGGGATTGTAGTGTGACCATGACCAGATGGGAGGTACTTTCTCCCTTTCTCTCTCTGATAAGTGTATGCACCCTCTGGCAATTAAAATTAATTAAATAGACAAACAAGTAAGGAATGAGGCAAGAATTCCAATTCACACAAGCTAATTCCTTTCAGCAGCTATTACTCTAAATAGGGAAAATGTTTCCAAAAGGGGAGGAAAAAGCCCTTTCTAACTCCATACTCCCCTCCAGTCACACTCCCATCACTCTTCTTCCCCTCACTTAAAGAAAGACTTATCTAATCTATCCTTTTTCTACTGTCTCACCTCCCACTCATTCTTCAACTCTTTCTCTTCACTGATACACTTTATAAGGAAGATAAGGGAGACTCAGATTCCAGGGATTACTCTTCAGATTGAAGCATTTAAAGGAGGATGACTGGAAAAGTAGGAAGGAAGGTCTACATTTGAGAGAGAAAAAAATGACTAGCAAGAAAGGAAAAAGACAAAGATCTAAAAATGCCTAGAGAAAGAATCAAGGGCCACTTGGGCTCAGTTTTAAGAAGGCACTTTAATGTATAGGCAGACAGGAGATTTCACTCAGAATTCTACCACTCCCTGAAAGGCACTGGGAAGAGGTTTTTTAGTTGTCACAGTGACTGGGGGCACTCTGGCATTTGGTGCTCAGGGGTCAGGAATGCTCAATATCTTGTGAGGTCTGAGGACTATGGGATATGAGGAATGAGGAAAGGGCTGTACTGTGGGTACTACACTGGAGCCTCCTAGACTTCTGGACAGAAAAGTATCAATGAACTTGAGACTGTCTTTGATGGCTTTTGATTGTTAAATGATTATTTTCTTCCACTCAGCATTGGGCAAGAATGGATCTAGATTCAAAACAAATATGTAAACATCCACCCACAGTGCATGCTCTTTCTGTGTACTCAGAGAATTTCCATCCCAACTTCTACACCTGCCTGCTACCTACCGAGCTTCTTGGAGAACTTGTCCTTCATGTGGGGAACGATGACAAAGAGACTATGTAAAATCGAGAGGAAAATTTCCATCAGGGCTGGATGGGTGGCCTGCTCTGAGTGCCTCTGCAAAGAACCAGGAGGAAGGACACAGTCTATCTGGACTGAGCCTCTGAAGAAGAAAAAGCACCAGTAATAGTAGTATCAAATCTACCAAGTATAGGAGCCAGCCAGTGGCATAGTGGTTAAGATGCTGGATTCCCACATGGCCAATACCAGTTCAAGTCCCAGACCTGGTGACTTGAAAATCACACTTGCCCCATGTGCATATATGCCCAAAATCCCAGAAGGAGAATGGAGGAAAAGGGATTGGTATGGCCACCCCTCCCAAAGGTGATTTCTCACTTTCTCTCTGTCTTTTACCAGTGAGTGCATACACCCTATGGCCAAGACCTAAAAACAAGCAAATGGGCAAAAAAAAATTTTAAACTACTAAGTGTAGTCTAACTCCTTTCATTTTAATGGCACAAAAAAAAAAAAACTAGGGATGGTCCAGCCCCATTACATAGTGGTTAAAAGGCAATCAATGTGGGGAGCAGCTAATGGTGCAGCGGTTACATTGCTGGACCACATAGCCAACCGCGGTTCGAGTCCTGGATCCAGAGGCTTAAAAATCATGCCGGGTATGTGTACGTGCGTGCTCAAGATCCTGGGAGGATAATGGAGAAGGGATTGCGGCATGGCCATCATCCCTGCCCTAGGAGATGATTTATGGCTTTCTATCTGTCTCTCTGGCAAGTGCACACATCCTATAGCAAAAATCTCTCTCCAAAAAAAAAAATAAATAAATAAATAAAAAGAGGAAACCAATGAGAATTGCCCAAGTCTCACAGGTGGGGTACATGGCTGACTACAGTTGGCCCTGATAACCTGAAAGATGTCGGGTACATGTGCATGCCCAGAGTCCTGACAAGAGGCAGGAATGGAAGAAAGAGGATTGTGGCATGACTATACCCCAATGGGGTGCCTTCTCCTTTCTCTCTCTCTGGTGAGTGTATATACTCTCTGGCACAAAAAAAAAAAAAAAAAAAAAAAAAAAAAAAAAAAAAAAAAAAAGAAAAGAAAAAAAAAGGAAGAAAGAGAAAAGCTAGAGAACCTGAAGTCACAAACCTACATCTAAGGGACCAGCAGTTAGCATAATGGCTATGTCGCTGGATTCCCATGTAGTCAACCACAGTTCAAGTCCTGGACCCAGTGGCTTAAACTCACACCGGGCGCGTGTGCATGCGTGCCCAAGATCCTGAGAGGAGAACGGAGAAGAGATTGCAGTGTGGCCATCCCCCCTGGGGGGTGATTTCTCGCTTTCTGTCTCTCTATCTCTCTGTCTTTCTGGTGAGTGCATGCACCCTACAGCAAAAACCTCTCCAAAAAAGAAAAAACAAAACAAAACAAAACAAAAAACCTACATTGAAGACTTGGATCTACTGCTTAATAAACTGTACCAGATACTTTTCTAGGCCTCTGTTCCAAGAGTAAAATGGGACTAACGAGAAGTCCTATCTTCCAGAAACTAATGAGGTCTAATATATTTAAAAATGCTTGCTTTAAAAAAAATTGCCAGAGGGTATGCACACTTGCTAGAGAGAAATAGAGAGAGAGAAAATGAGGAAAAAGCACCCTTCAATGGGACACGGCCATGCCACAATCCCTTCTTTTCTGTCTCTCCACTTGGTTAGGACCTTAGGTATACATGCACATGTGCCCACTGAGTCCTCCAAGCTGCCAGGCCAGCACTCAAACCAAGCAGTTGGCCATGATGGCTCTAGCTCCCTTAATCAGGCAAGTGACCAGATCTTAAAAAGTGATGTAGGGAACCAGCAGATGGCGTAACGGTTATATCACTGGACTCCAATGTAGTTGACTGTGGTTCAAGTCCTGGACCTGGCGGCTTAAAACTTAGCCAGGCATGTGTGCATATGTGCCCAAGATCCTGAAAGGAGAATAGAGGGAAGGGACTGTGGTGTCATCATCCCCCTGGGGGTGATTTCTTGCTGTATCTCTGGCAAGTGCACACGTTCCATAGCAAACTCTCTCTTAAAAAAAAAAAAAATTGCTTTCAGGCCAGCTCCATGGCCTAGTTGTTAAGGCAGCTGGATTCTACATGACCAACTGCGTGGTTCAAGTCCTGGACCCCATGACTTGAGAAACACACCATGCACATGTGCAGGTGTGCCCAACATCCTGTAAGGAGGGACGGTGGAGAAAGGACTGTAATGTGCCCATTCCCCATGAGGGATACTTTCTTCTCATCCTCTCTCTTAGTCTCTTAGTCTTGCTCTGGCAAGTAAACACAACCTCCATCAAAAAAATTAAAAAAATGCTTTCTAAACCATAATGCAGAGTGACGCTCATGTTTCTATCACTATAGTAATAATAATACAATTTATTAACTACCTGCATACTTATTATTTCATGTGATCCTTGAACAGTCATGAGGCAGCCTGATGTAGTAAAAAGAGCTCTGGATTAAGGGTCATGAGGTGACATGGTGACTGAGGCACTGAACTCCCACATAGCTGACTGCAGTTTGAGTTCCAGACCTGGTGGCTTAAAAATCATATTTAGCATGTTTGCGTGTGGGCCCAAAATCCCAGGAGAAGAATGGAGGAGAAGGAATTGCTGCATGACTACCCTCCCTGATAGGTCATTTTTTTTTTTTTTTTTTTTGGAGAGTTTTTTTTTTGTTGTTGTTCTGCTATAGGGCACATGTGCTTGCCAGAAAGACAGAGAGAGACAGAAAGTGAGAAATCACCCCCCAGGGAGGATGGCCACATTGCAATCCCTTCCCCTCCATTCTCCTCTCAGGATCTTAGGCACAAATGCACACGCGCCCAGTGTGAGTTTAAGCCACCAGGACTGGGACTCATACCGTGGTCTACTACATGGGAGTCCAGCAACATAGCCATTACACCAACTGCTGGTTCCAGCAAGGTAATTTCTTACTTTCCCTCTCATTGTCTCTGTCTCTTTTCAGGGAGCACAACTGACCTATGGCAAAACCATAAAAGAATAAAAGGAAGAAAGGAAAGGAAAGGAAAGGAAAGGAAAGGAAAGGAAAGGAAAGGAAAGGAAAGGAAAGGAAAGGAAAGGAAAGGAAAGGAAAGGAAAGGAAAGGAAAGGAAAGGAAAGGAAAGGAAAGGAAAGGAAAGGAAAGGAAAGGAAAGGAAAGGAAAGGAAAGGAAAGGAAAGGAAAGGAAAGGAAAGGAAAGGAAAGGAAAGGAAAGGAAAGGAAAGGAAAGGAAAGGAAAGGAAAGGAAAGGAAAGGAAAGGAAAAGGGAAAAGGGAAAAGGGAAAAGGGAAAAGGAAAGGAAAAGGGAAAGGGAAAAGGAAAGGAAAAGAAAGGGGAAAAGGGAAAGGAGAATGGGGAAAGGGGAAAGGAGAATGGGGAAAGGGGAAAGGGGAAAGGGGAAAGGAGAATGGGGAAAGGGGAAAGGAGAATGGGGAAAGCAAAGGGAAAGGGAAAAGGAAAAGGAAATGAAAGAAATGTATGTGTCCTTGGGGAGTCATCTCCTCCCCCTCTGGGTCGCAACCACTTGTCTCTAAATAGCTGGGGCCTCAAAGACATTGTTCTTGTAGACAATGCTTTCCTTTGATTTTTTGTTTAGTTTTCTTTCCAACCTCACCTCCAGCGTTTGCCCTTTCCTTTGTTTGTTCAGGCAAGTGACCAGATCTTAAAAAGTGATGTAGGGAACCAGCAGATGGCGTAACGGTTATATCACTGGACTCCAATGTAGTTGACTGTGGTTCAAGTCCTGGACCTGGCGGCTTAAAACTTAGCCAGGCATGTGTGCATATGTGCCCAAGATCCTGAAAGGAGAATAGAGGGAAGGGACTGTGGTGTCATCATCCCCCTGGGGGTGATTTCTTGCTGTATCTCTGGCAAGTGCACACGTTCCATAGCAAACTCTCTCTTAAAAAAAAAAAAAATTGCTTTCAGGCCAGCTCCATGGCCTAGTTGTTAAGGCAGCTGGATTCTACATGACCAACTGCGTGGTTCAAGTCCTGGACCCCATGACTTGAGAAACACACCATGCACATGTGCAGGTGTGCCCAACATCCTGTAAGGAGGGACGGTGGAGAAAGGACTGTAATGTGCCCATTCCCCATGAGGGATACTTTCTTCTCATCCTCTCTCTTAGTCTCTTAGTCTTGCTCTGGCAAGTAAACACAACCTCCATCAAAAAAATTAAAAAAATGCTTTCTAAACCATAATGCAGAGTGACGCTCATGTTTCTATCACTATAGTAATAATAATACAATTTATTAACTACCTGCATACTTATTATTTCATGTGATCCTTGAACAGTCATGAGGCAGCCTGATGTAGTAAAAAGAGCTCTGGATTAAGGGTCATGAGGTGACATGGTGACTGAGGCACTGAACTCCCACATAGCTGACTGCAGTTTGAGTTCCAGACCTGGTGGCTTAAAAATCATATTTAGCATGTTTGCGTGTGGGCCCAAAATCCCAGGAGAAGAATGGAGGAGAAGGAATTGCTGCATGACTACCCTCCCTGATAGGTCATTTTTTTTTTTTTTTTTTTTGGAGAGTTTTTTTTTTGTTGTTGTTCTGCTATAGGGCACATGTGCTTGCCAGAAAGACAGAGAGAGACAGAAAGTGAGAAATCACCCCCCAGGGAGGATGGCCACATTGCAATCCCTTCCCCTCCATTCTCCTCTCAGGATCTTAGGCACAAATGCACACGCGCCCAGTGTGAGTTTAAGCCACCAGGACTGGGACTCATACCGTGGTCTACTACATGGGAGTCCAGCAACATAGCCATTACACCAACTGCTGGTTCCAGCAAGGTAATTTCTTACTTTCCCTCTCATTGTCTCTGTCTCTTTTCAGGGAGCACAACTGACCTATGGCAAAACCATAAAAGAATAAAAGGAAGAAAGGAAAGGAAAGGAAAGGAAAGGAAAGGAAAGGAAAGGAAAGGAAAGGAAAGGAAAGGAAAGGAAAGGAAAGGAAAGGAAAGGAAAGGAAAGGAAAGGAAAGGAAAGGGGGAAAGGAGAATGGGGAAAGGGGAAAGGAGAATGGGGAAAGGGGAAAGGAGAATGGGGAAAGGGGAAAGGAGAATGGGGAAAGGGGAAAGGAGAATGGGGAAAGGGGAAAGGAGAATGGGGAAAGGGGAAAGGAGAATGGGGAAAGGGGAAAGGAGAATGGGGAAAGGGGAAAGGAGAATGGGGAAAGCAAAGGGAAAGGGAAAAGGAAAAGGAAATGAAAGAAATGTATGTGTCCTTGGGGAGTCATCTCCTCCCCCTCTGGGTCGCAACCACTTGTCTCTAAATAGCTGGGGCCTCAAAGACATTGTTCTTGTAGACAATGCTTTCCTTTGATTTTTTGTTTAGTTTTCTTTCCAACCTCACCTCCAGCGTTTGCCCTTTCCTTTGTTTGTTTGGGGTTTCTTTTTGAGGGTTTTTTTTTTTTATATTTCATTTTCTTCCATACATTCAATCACATTATTATTTGTCTTACAAAATGGATATTTCAACAGGTGAACATTTCTCCCTAGTATTCCTTTGGTTTTTAAATCAAGGGTTTTTTTTTATTATAAAATAATTTATGTTCATTAAATGTGTAAAATACAGAAAAGTAGAAAGCAGGAATAATATAATTCTATGACTTACTTCTAGACTTCACTCTAACATTTCATAAATCTAGAGGAAGGCGGAACAGATAAGGAAACCCATGTGACTTGCCCAAGTCTTATGGGTGGTTCGTGATGTCAGGACTGCAGCCCAGGGCTTCTGACCAGCACCACCTGCAGACCTGGCTCCTCTTGGATGGCCTCAAGGAATAAAGCCTCTCTGCGTCAGAGAAGGGAAGGTTCTCCCTGAAGCCATCACTGCTCCCGGTCGGTGTCTAGGAGGTGGCCCTAAAACAGGGATTCTTCACAGGCTCACAGGATGCCCTAATCTCAGGAAGAAAGGGACTGACCAAGGTTACCCAAAGAGTCAACAGCTTTGGGCCACACTCTTCCTACCACTGCCATCTCAAGTCAGCTCCAAATAAAGTTCTTTAGTACCAGGTCTCTTAGAGCAGTCATTTCTCATCTTACAGAACACAAAGTTGGGATCACAGATATTCACTGCTGCTCATTATGAAGCAGACAGACAAGAATAGCTAGGGAATCTGAAGTCACAGGTTCAATCTCAGCATCATGTGCACTTGCTTTATAACCACGAACATATGACGACCTCATCTGTAAATTAGAGAAAATTGTAGCACCCATCTCCCAGGGACATTGTGAGGACTAAATTAGATAATGAGTATAAGGCAACTGTCACTCTGTAAACATTACCTATTTATTATTGTATTATTACTGCTTCTTTTCTGTAAGAGGCATCTATTAGTTTTACAATGAAATGCTATACTTTATTTCTAAAATCAGGGCCAGACCCATATCACAGTGGTTAATTAAGCACTGTGCAGAGGAGGCCAATTCCACATGGCCAATCAGGGTTCATATCCTAGTCCTGGTGGCTTATATGCTAGACATGTGTGCACAAACTGGTCATATGTGTTCAGGATCCTGACAGGAAGGAAAACTGCAGGAAAGAAAGAATTGCAGCAAGACCAGGCCCTGTTGGAGGTGCTTTCTTTCTCTCCTTCTCTCTCCTCTCTCTCATGACACTTACATACACACACCCTCTGGCATAAAAAAGAAATGGAAAGGAGCCGGCATATGGTATAATGGTTACATTGCTGGACTCCCACATAGTCAACCATGGTTCGAGTCCCAGACCTTGCAGTTTAAAACTCAGGCAGGGCACGTGTGTGTGCATGCCCAAAATCTTAAGAGAATGGATGTGAAGGGATTGTGACATGGCCATCCTACCTGGGGGTGTGATCTCTCTCTTTCTGTCTCTCCGTCTCTTCATTAAGTGCACACACACTACAGCAAAAACTCAAAAAAAAAAAAAAATGGGAAAAGAAAAACCCAGGAAAAGTGGCTGCAAGAATAACATCGCCAAGGCCCTCAGAGCGTCAGTGGGGTAGCACCGCCTTGTATCTCCTGGGACTCATCTTCACATGATTCTCTTCCCCAGGCTTCATGCTGCCCATGGCTCTGGGGAACTCACCATCACCATGGGGATACACAGAGAGTCACAGGCACTGAGAAGAAATTCTGAGAAAGCCTCCAAGGTCTCTTCTTTCTCAGCACTGGGAGCCGTGAATGGGTTCTCCTGGGCTGCAGGCTCATTCTGGAATTCCACAGCCAACCTGAGAAATCAACTGTGAGTACATCCACTACCACTTATATAACGTAAAGTGCAGAAGTGCCTTCTTAGCAAAATGCCTGTGCTTAGGGCCTACAAAAAGTACCCTCATTGTCAGATTGGAAAAAATTTAAGAGCCCTCAGAGAGGAGAGGGCCTGTCCTTGGCTACTTCTCCAGCTTCCTGCTTCCCAACCCTCTGCCATCTTACGTGACTACATGTATCTCCCTGAACATGCTATGCTATTTTTTTAGCTCATATCTCTATTCCTTGATATACGATGCTCTCTCTACCTGAAATGCCTTCCCAGGATTCTTGACAACCTAAGAATTCTACATATATACACAAAATTCTCTATCCCAGGAGACTGTGAGCACCTTGCAGACAGGAGCCACTGTGCCTGTTCTTTCTACCCTGTCTAGCACCAAATCTGGCAGACAGTAGATACAGCAAAGTTGTTCATGTGAACTGAATTAACAAGAACACAGTGAACACTTGCAGTGCTAGCCTAGTTGAGGAGAAAAACAAAACTGGATACCATACAACTTCGTGACATAGTACAAAGACTTCACCGGGAAAGAATCTCTAGAAGCATTCTATCCCTATGGACCAGTTCTCAAGCTTCTCCTACACTCCTCCAATTCCCTCCCCAACCAAAATCTTCTTGCTATGAAGCAGCATATGGAAATCAAGCATTGCCTCTAAAACTTCATTCTTTGTCTGACTCTCTCCCACTTCTACGCTCTATGCTATATTATCTCAGATCACAGAGGGCCCCTCACCTGCAGGCATTTCTAAATCCTTCCAGAGTGCTCAGGAGGAAGTTTCCCCTTCGAAGAACAGCCTTCTCTGAAGCTCTGCTGGAGGGATGGCCCTGAGGTGAGAATAAGAGAGAAGAATCTCTTGGTCAAGTACCTACTCTGTCCCAGGTTGTGCTTTGATGACTTTAGAGCTCTTCCTCTTTCACTGCAGTCTGATGTTCTCGTGTACCTAACATTTCTAGTGAATCTTGGTGATAGCCCTGCAAATCTAACCAGTAATAGGTCTCTTTAAAAATGGTAAACTGGGGAGCCAGCAGATGGTGTAGTGGTTAAGGGCGCTGGACTCCCACATGGCCAACTGTGGTTCAAGTCCCAGACCTGGCGGCTTGCTTTCTCACTTTCTCTCTTGCTTTTGCTCTCTCTCTCACTCTGCCTCTCTCTGATCAGATTACAATAAGTAAATAAATAAAGTTTAAAAAAATGGTAAACTGGGACCAGCAGATAGCGTAATGGTTATGTCACTGGACTCCCACGTAGTCTACTGAGGTTCAAGTCCAGACCTGGCAGCTTTAAACTCATACCTGCTGTTTGTGCGTGCCTGCCCAAGATCCCAAGAGGAAAATGGAGAAGAAGGGATTGTGGAGTGGCCACTCCCCCCGGGGGGGGGGGGGGGGAAGGGTGATTTTTCACTTTCTGTCTCTCTGTCTCTCTCTGTCTCTCCAGTGAGCACATGTGCCCTATAGAAAAATAATCTCTCTTGGGACCAGCAAGTGGGGTGGTGGTTAAGAGCACTGGACTCCCACATGGCTGACTGCTGTTCAAGTCCTCGACCTGGTGCCTTGCTTTCTCTCTCTGTCCCTCTCTGGTCAAATTAAAATAAACAGATAAATAAAATTAAATTAAATAATTATTTTTTTAAAAAAGAAAGAAAGAAATCTCTCTAAAACAAAAAAAAAGTAAACCTGGGCCAGCAGGTGGTGTGGCAGTTAAGGCACCTGGATGCCTCATGGCCAACTTCACAGTTTAAGTCCCGGATCCAGCAGCTTGAAAAACATACCAGGTGATTGTGCGTGCATGCCCAAAATCCTGAGAGAAAAGTGGAGAAGGACACAGCCATCCCCTCTGTGATTTCTCATTTTCCTTCTCTCTTTGCCTCTTTGTCTCTTTTTGGCTAGTGAATATGCCTTACAGGAAGAACTAAAAGAAAAGGTCTCCCTGTGAACTATAAGACTGGATCTTATTCTATTACAGAAAGCTGTCATAGGCTGGGGAACATTAGCTTGATTGGCTGTAATGTCCATATTTGTTGCTCTGAAATACAAGAAAACCTCCACCCCATCAAGTGTGAAGAGCTTAGTTTCCAAGGTTAGTCATGAAAGACATAATCAACAGTCACGCTAAGAGGATCTTTTCTGATAGCTTAAGTCTATGGACCATTAAAAAACAAAAATACCAACGTATTGCACATCGGTCAAATCCTTTCTAAGATTCTAGGGAATTCAGTTTTAAATATTATCTTGTGGGCATGTTTACCATACCAGTTTGGATAATATAAAGAGACAAAGAGGTAGTAGGCTTGGGTACAAATATCCAACTTACTATCTGGAACTTACTACCCAGACTCAGTAGTTGCTAGTTTGGGACTTTGGAGAAAAAGTACTTAACCCCTGCAGCTTCAGTTTTCTCATCTGTAAAAATAGAAATAATGATCCTTAAACCTCACAGATCTGTAGTTATGGGGGAAAAAATCCTCATCGTATGTAGGACCAGCAGTTAGTTTAATGGCTATGTCGCTGGACTCCCCTGTGGTCAACTGCGGTTCGAGTCCTGGACCCGGCGGCTTAAACTCACACCGGGCGCGTGTGCGTGCGTGCCCAAGATCCCAGGAGGAGAATGGAGGAGAGGGGATTGTGGCGTGGCCATCCCTCCTGGGGGGTGATTCCTCGCTTTCTGTCTGTCTCTCTCTGTCTGTCTGGCAAGTGCACGCGCCCTATACCAAAAAACTCTAAAAAAAAACAACCTCATCGTAGGTATATGTACTGAAAAAGGGCTATAAAATGGCATGGACTGGCAAGGCAATGTACTAATTAAGGTTCTAAAAGCACATTACAGCACAAGCGGCAGAAGCAAGCTGCAGTATACTGACCACAGGCCTCCTATTTAGTGGCATCTGGGAAAATTCCGCACACCGTCTCAGCATGGCTTCAAGCAAGGCCCGCAATTCCTTGTATTGCACAGGTGGGGCACTCTGATGGTCCTTCCTGCATTGAGAGAGATAAGAGCTGGCTCAGGGAAAGGTAGTGGTGCTCCTGAGATACCTACAGGCCCTTGGCTAATGGGAAGTGGAAGGGTGGGTCAGAATTTAGGGTCTGATCTGATAAGGTGGCATTGGTGGTTGAGGTACCAGACTCCCACATGGCCAACCATGGGCTGAGTCCCAGGCCTGGTGACCTTGATCTACCCTGCCTTTGTCACCCAGTTGGTTTACTTATCTCACTCACTCTGAAATTCATGCTCCAGATTTAGAGATTCAATTCTAGGTTAGGACAAAGAGAGAGAGATGACAAGCTGAAGTCATTGTAATGTAAATGCTATTTTTTTGTTTCAATTTTTAGAAACAACTTAGAGTCAAATCATAAAGACTTAAATATGGTTACAGAAGAGACTATAAATATTAACAACCTTTACAATTTAAAATTAAAGGTATAGCTGATTGACCTTGAAAAGTAAAAGGTAGGTAGGAGAGGGAAAGGAAGGGTTGAGGTGCTGCTAATGAATGAGAAGTCAAAAGATACTGCTGCAAGTTGAGAAAAATAAATATGTTTAAAATACATCATGTAAGATTTAAAGACATAAAATATTAACTAGCAAAAATGCTGAGGAGGGCCATCCGTGTGGCATGGTGGTTAAGGCAGCTGGATCCTATATGTCCAACTGTGCAGTTCAAGTCCCAGACCTGGCAGCTTGAAAACCCCCCCAGATGTGTGTGCATATGTGCCCAAAATCACAAATGAAAATGGAGGAGAAGATATTGTGGCATAGTCACCCCCCATGGGGATGCTTTCTCTCTTTCTCTCTCTCTCTCTCTCTCTCTCTCTCTCTCTCTCCCTAGCAAGTACATGTGCCCTATAGCAAATAAAAAAAAAAAAGAAAAGAAAAGAAAACAAGGAGATGTAGAGAAGACACAAAACATGAGCTAATTAAATCTTGATTTTTATTACTGGCAAGACAAAGAATAATGTCTTAAACTGACAAATAAATAAATATCAGTGTAAGTACTGGGTCATCAGAAAAGTCATGACATTGTCTCCTATGCTTTTCTATGCAAAGATGCATCATGACTTTTCTAATGACCCAATATATTATTTAGATTTTAGGAAGATAATCACCAGAACTGAAACCAAGATGAATTAAAATTAGTTTTCCTTGGAAAGTGGAGACAGGATTTGAGGACTTTCTTTTCATTATAAACCCTCTATACTATTTATTTTTTTGAAGTTTGTTCACTTCTTTCTTCTATGAGACAGAGAGACAGAGAGAGAGAGAGGCATCCCAAACAGGGTCTTAACACTGTTGTCCACCCCCCTTCAGCCAGAACTGAATCATGGGCATGCACATGCTCAGCATATTCAGGGAGGTCTCCAGGTGCAATCCCAGAATTCTCCCATATGGGTCAGCCTTACATGGTGGCCTTAACAGCTGTGCCACCTTCCAATCCCCTATTTTATTTCTTATTATTTGAATATATCACTTAGTTAGAAATGTAAAAGAGAAAACATAGTAACAAAATTCCTACATAACTAAATATAGGTTTCTTCAACTACTTTTTACAAGATTCCAAGCATCTTCCTGAGAAATTATCTCCCATCTTGGTCCTAGGTTCTGTTAGTTTCACCATCCATCTTAATATCCTTTATGCATATATTGACTACCCATTCTATCTACAATAGATAGAGCAGTGAAAAAATGTGACAAGGTCCTTGAGCTCTTGGAGCTGATATTTTTGTGGGGGTGATGGGATAAAAAAACTAACGGATAAACAAGAACTACTAAGTGCTTTTTTTTTTTTTTGAGAGGTTTTTGCTATAGGGTGCGTGCACTCACCAGAAAGACAGACAGAAATGAAGACAGAAAGCGAGAAATCACCCCCGAGGGGGGATGGCCACACCGCAATCCCTTCTCCATTCTCCTCTCGGGATCTTGGGCACACATGCACATGCACCCGGCGTGAGTTTAAGCCACCGGGTCTGGGACTTGAACCGCAGTTGACTACATGGGAGTCCAGTGACATAGCCATCATGCCAACTGCTGGTCCCTCAAGTGCTTAATAGGTGTTATAACAGCTGATAGGTCAGTTAGGAAGACAATCTGCTTGAGACTTGAATGATAGGAAGAAGCCAGTCATGTCAAAGTTTAAGGGAAGAATATTTTAGGAAGAATAAACAGTTATTAGAAAGGCCACATGGCAGGAATAAGTTTGCTAATGAAACAGAAAGAAAACCAAACATGTGGTAAAGATGCAAATGTAATTCCTCAGATTCCAGGACCAGCAGTTGGCATAATGGCTATGTGATTGGACTCCCAGGTGGTCAACCACGGTTCCAGTTCCAGACCCGGTGGCTTAAACTCATGCCAGGCACGTGTGTGTGCATGCCCAAGATCCCAAGAGGAAACTGAGGATAAGGGATTGTGGTGTGGCCATTCCCCCTGGGGAGTGATTTCTCACTTTCTGTCTCTTAGTCTCTCTCTGTCTTTCTGGTGAAAGCACACGCCCTAGAGCGAAAACCTCTCAAAAAAAAAAAATTCTTCAGATTCCAATTTGAGTGTTGTTGGTTTGTTTTTTTTGTTTTTTTTGTTTTTTTTTTCCTATGTGCTGGGAGTAAGGGCAGACTGAGTTTGAAGTTTCTGGAATAAGGCACCAGGCAGTTAGAAATCTCATCTCCAGCTCAGGAAAACACTGTAGTGGACTGAATAATGGTACCCAGAGATGATCAGGTCCTAATTCCTAAGGCTGTGAATGTTACTTTATATGGTAAAGTTTTCACAGATAGAATTAAATTAAGTATACTGAGCTGAGAAGAGCCCTAAATGCCATCATAGTATCCTTACATGACAGAAACAAGGGACAGTGAGAAGAGAAAAATGTGATCACAAAGGCAGCTGTTAAAGTAATGTGGCCATAGGGACCAGCATGTGGTGTAATAGGTAAGGCACTGAACACTCCCACATGGTTGACCACAGTTCGGGTCACGGACCTGGTGGTTTGCTTTCCCATTTTCTCTCTCTCTCTCTCTCTCTGTGTCTCTCTCTTCCCAAAATTAAAATAAATAAATGAAAAAAAAAAAAAAGTAATATGGCCACAAGCAGAGAAATCCCAGAAGACTCCAAGAAGCTAGAAGAAGCAAGAAAGGATTCACACCTAGAGCCTCCCAAGGGAATGTAGCCCTGCTAGCACCTTTATTTTAGCCCAATGATTTTGATATCAGACTTTTGGCCTCCACAGCAATGAGTAGATAAATTTCTGTTGTTTTAAGTCACCAAATTTACAGCCATTCTTGTGAAAATGGAAACTAATACACAGGACTTTAGATTAAAACTATAGACTTGGGCATCAACATACAGCTCATAACTGAAGCTCTGTGAGTGGATAAGAGCATTAAAGGAGAAAAAGGATATCAAAGGATTGACTGCTTTTGGTCAAAGATGATGGAGTTGGGTTGGGGCCAGCAGGTGGCATAGTGGTTAAGGCATTGGACTTGCACATGGCGAACTATGGTTCTAGTCCCAGACTTGAAGTCTTGCTTTCTCATTGTCTCTCTTTTCCTCTCTCCCTCTCTGGTGAGAGCATGTACCCTATAGCAAATTTAAAAGTAATGATAACATTTAATAAAATTAAATAATTATTTTTTAAAAAACATGATAGAGTCAACAGGTATGATTACCTGTTACTCCTCACTAAAATTAAAGCAGAAGGATTTTTTTAAAAAGATATAAATACATGGGACCAACAGTTAGAGTAATGGCTATGTCGCTGGACTCCCACGTAGTTGACCGCGGTTCGAGTCCCAGACCCAGTGGCTTAAACTCACGCTGGGCACATGTGCGTGCGTGCCCAAGATCCTGAGAGGAGAATGGAGGAGAAGAGATTGCGGTGTGACCATCCCCTCTGGGGGGTGATTTCTCGCTTTCTATCTCTCTGCCTCTGTCTGTCTGGTGAGCACACGCGCCCTATAGCAAAATAAACCTCTCCAAAAAAAGAAAAAAAAAAAGATATAAATACAAAACAACAGGGACCAGCAGTTAGCATAATGGCTATATCGCTGGACTCCCATGTAGTCGACCGTGGTTTGAGTCCCAGACCCGGTGGCTTAAAACTCACGCCAGGCGCGTGTGTGTGCGTGCCCAAGATCCTGAGAGGAGAATGGAGGAGAAGGGATTGCGTAGTGGCCATCCCCCAGGGGGTGATTTCTCACTTTCTCTCTCTGTTTCTCTCCAGCAAGTGCATGTGGACTATGACAAAAAAAAAAATTAAAAATTTTAAAATTAGGGACCAGCAGGTGGCATGGTGGTTAAGGTACTGGACACTCCCACATGGCTGACCACAGTTCAAGTCCTGGACCTGGTGGCTTGCTTTCTCACTTTCCCTCCCACCCACTCTCTGTGTGTGTGTGTGTCTCTCCCTGGTCAAATTAAAAGAAATGAATAAATAAATAAAATTAAATCAAATAACTCTTTAAAATTTTTTTAATAAAATAAAACAGAAATAACAAAAAGATAAAAACAATCAGATCGCCAGCTTCCTCCTCTACTCTGTATAAGAAAGCAGCTGACCTTCCCCACACCCACGCCCTGGCAGAAGGTTTTGAGGCGTACCTTTCGGAGATAAAACAGAGGGTTTCTAGATCATTCAGATAGAAGGTACCATACTAAGTTTACGTTTTAAATGTTGAAAGGTCCATTAAGCTCCCAGAACTCATAGGCTTACTCTCTCTTAGCAGGAGCCTAGACAGGCTCCTCTGATAACCTGGCCAGCCTGAGAGGAGGTTGAAGACACTGCTATCAAAGTCTCCCCCAAGGAAATGGCCCAACCAGCTTCTCAGTGAAATCCAGTTGATGAGTCCCACTCATATACAGAACTTCCCATGAGTTTTTTAGTGTCTCATTGCTACGGTTTGAATACATCCTACAAAATTTCACGTGTTAAAATTTGGTGAGCCATCTTAAAGGTATTTTTTATTATTATTTTGTTTAACTTTATTTATTTATTTGTTTATTTTTAATTTGACCAGAGAGGAAGAGAGCAAGAATGAGAGAGGGAAAGTGAAAAAGGAAGCTGCCAGGTCCAGAACTCGAATCACAGTCGGCCATGTGAGAGTCCAGCATCCTTAACCACCATGCCACCTACCAGCCCATCATGAAGGTATGAAGAGGAGACTTAATCTAACTTAGGTGTTGAAAAGTAGGGCCCTTGGGAAGTAATTAGGCATCAGAGTGAGGTCTCCATGATTGAGTCCTGGTGGACTTACAAGGTGAGGGAATGAGACAGAGACACATAGATGCAGACATGCTCCCTCAAGCTCCCCTCGACATACTGTGCTCAGCTTAAGCTCCTGCCCTCCACCATGGGATCCACCAACAAGAAGACCTTCACTAGATGCAGCTGTTGGATCTCCAAACTGTGAGCTGAATAAACCTCTACTTTCATAAGTAACCCAGACATGAGTATCTATTATTAGCATCAGAATGGACTAGAACATTTATTCCTGAGTATGAGAAGATAGTCAATGATCAATAAAGATCTAAGAAAAAGTAAAAGACATACAAAAAAGCAACTTAGAAGAGAACTATGAGGGCCAGCCCCACAGTGCAGCAATTAAGCCCTGTACATAAGGAGCTGTATCCCACATGGTCAATCCTGGTCCAAATCCTGACACTGGTGGCTTGAAAAATATCCCAGGCCTATATGCATGCATGCCCCAAATCCTGATGAGAGAGAGAAATGGAGGAAAAAGCATTGCAGCATGACCACACCCCATTAGGGGTTTCTTTCGCTCTCTCTCTCTCTTTGGGGAGCACACATGCCTTCTGGCAATTAGGAAAAAAAAAACAACTAAGGCTGGCCAGGTGGTATGGTGGTTAAGGTAGCAGACACTCACATGGCCAATGACACAGTTCATGTCCCAAACCAAGTAGCTTGGGAAACACACCAGACACATGTGTGTGGGTGTGCCCAGAATGAAAAAGAAGGGACTGGAGCATGATTATCCCCCCCAGGGGGGGGTGCTTTCTCATTTTCTCTCATTTTTCCTCTTTCTCCTTGGTGAGCACACATGCCCTATAGCAAAAAATAAAAAAATAAAGAAGAAGAAGAAAAAGAAACACTCAAAAGGGATTTATCAGTGTGGTATGGTGGTCACACACTGCCCAAGCAAAATTGGATCCATCTGAAACATCATGGGGTTGGTTCCCCAGTCAACTTGCATGCACTGGGCACATGCATCCGTGATCCTGGATGGCTAGGAAGGCTATAATGAGTGTGGGATAAGGCATGAGACTCTACTGAGGGTGCTTCTTTTTCTCTTTCTCTCACTTTCATGAAAGAAATAATTTTTTAAAGAATTATTTTATTTTTTTAACTTTTATTTATTTATTTTAATTTGACCAGAGAGGAATAGAGCACATGAGAGAGAGAGAGAGAGAGAAAGTGAGAAAGCAAGAAAGCAAGCCGCCAGGTCCGAGACTCGAACCACAGTCGGTCGTATGTGAGTTCAGTGTCCTTAACCACCACGCTACCTACCAGTCCTGAAATAAGTAATTTTTAATTAAACACACACACACACAATAGAAGGGTTAAAAGATAAAGTCAAGAAAATCTCTCGGAAGTTTGTATATAATAATAAAAAACAAAAACTGTCAGGAAAAAAAAAAATTAGACCACCAATCTAAGATGACCAACATCTAAAACGTGGTTCCAGAGAGGCAGAATAGTGTAAAAAGAGGAAAGAAATAATTCAAGAAAATTTCCCTGACCCAGAGGGCAAGCACCACCTGGAAGCTATCCTGGCCTAGACAGCTCTCAAGTACATGCAGAGGTAGACACTTCAGTTTGCATGGCTCTCTCACCTCAGAAAAGCAGAAGTGGCCTTCACTGCCTCAGAAGCCACTTCCAGCACAGGGCTGCTCACTGCCTCTTGGAGGGCATGCCCAGCATCTCCACACATGGCCGAGCTTGTGAACAACTTGATCTCTTCTGGTTGCCTGAGAAATGACGGTAAGGAACTTGCTTTCCTTCTCCATCTTGCCTCTACAGGCCTGATATTCCACGCTTTTGCTCACCTGGTCAGGATCTCAGCAAAGAGCAGCAGGACCTGTTTATGCAGTTCTGTGTTATTCGTCTTCAGGCTTTCCTGTAAGCTCCTCACCACTGCCTCGATTCCTACCTCAGGATGACATGACAGAGACCAGGAATCAGTGCTCCAGAGTTCCTCCACTGCCCATCCAGAGAGGTGAAAGACTCTGGATGGCACTTACTAGCTGGAGGTCCCTCATGGGAGGGACCCTGACAAGGTTGAGCTGACAGTACCAGACTGTGAGATCTGAGAGGGCAGGCCTTTATCTGATTCATCTCTGTTTCCCCAGCACCCAGCATAAGCCATAGCACAGCCCTGGCTCCTGAGGTATTCAGTGACACCGACTGACCAGCCACATTTTCTGCACTTGGCACTCCCTAATTCTTCCTTCAAGAATCAGGTTGATTGGCTGAGGAGTCAATGAGGCAAACCCACCATTTGTAGGATTATGACAATGCTTCTAAGTCAGAATCCCGCCCAGGTCCAACAATATGGCAGCTGGTAGAGCCTCGGTTGGCCTCCATTGGCCTCGAAGGGGACTCGGGTCCCCAGACAAAGCCCTTAGTCTTGGGAACAAGGATGTGGCCAGAAAGGGGGCTGCTCCCTCACCCATCAAATAACACATGTTCATGGGGAAACCTGGTGCTAAACCATTCGTAAACAACCTGCTTCTGGGTGAGGGTTTCCTACTTATCAGAGCAGCTCCCTTGCTGCAATCTATTAAGACAGCCCTCAACACAAGGGTTTGTAAAATAAAATGAAGGGAAAAAAAAAAAAAAGAATCAGGTTGAAAATCCACACCCCAGGAAGCATTCCCTGATCCACTCAGCCGCAGCTTCTACAGCTCCCGTGCTTCCCTCTAGCAGAGGTCCAATCAGATTGTAGCTGTATTTCTCTCCCCTTCCTGAGGGCAAGGACTATGGCATGGACATAGATATATATGTATATCTATAGATACATAAACATCTTTAGGTCTCTGGCATAGACTAGGAATATAAAACATAAAATGAATGATTGATGTGCCCCCTCTGAAAAATCCGGATGAGATATAAAAAGTCCCAGATAAGGAGAGTATCACTAAGAAAGAAAAGAAAGGGAAAGTTACAATAAACTTTAAAAGGATAAATCAGCAGGCTGGTCCCATAGTCTCGTGGTAAAGGGAAATGTATCCCACATGACCAAATGTAGTTTAAATCCTGGCCCTAGTGGCTTGAAAAACACATCAGGTCTCCTGTGCACGCATGCCCAAAATTCCAATAAGATGGAGAAATAGAGGAAAAAGGATTGTAGACTGGCCAAGCATCATTGGGAAGTTCTTTCTCCTCTGTCTTCATCTCTCTATTTCCCTCTGGCAATTGGAGGGTGGAGAAAGAATAAATCAGCAAAACTTAGGGACTAACTGGATGGACAGATATCTAGTGCAGTAATATTGTTTAGAGCAGCTGTTAACATGCAGCAGGAACTCATTTTGCAGCTTCCCTTGAAGAAGGTCTGAACATATGTACTTCAGCCAATCAGTGAACAGCAAAACTGTCGGGACAGCAATGTTTGCATATAGAATCTAGTAATGAGTTTGGGCTAATGGAAATGTCCAGACTCATACTCTCCTCCACAGTGAAGGCTAACCCCTATCACTGCTGCTGCTACCCAACTTGAACTTGCATCCACCTGACCCAGGACTAATCCAGGACCCCCACTACCAACCATACACTGTGTGGCACTTGGAGAAGAAGAGTGGCTCCTCTGCCAGGAGTATCAAGCAGTTGCAGCTAGACCAGATGAGCACTTCACTGGAAGAGGAAAGGTGCTCAAAGAGGAACTCTGCCAGGGGAAAGGAAGAGCAAATAATAAATGATACCTGGGTGATCTTGATACCTTAACTAATGGGTTTTCTTCAGCCTCTTATTCCTGTTACTTCATCTATTCACATACTCTTTCTATAAAACATGATAATTAATTCACAGATAAACCTGAAAAGTGCCCTCAGGATTGTGGTCTAACTTTTCTTTTCTTTTCTTTTTTTTTTTTTTTTTTTTTGAGGGTTTTCGCTTTTGCTCGCCAGACAGAGAGAGAGAGAGAGACAGAAAGCGAGAAATCACCCCCCAGGGGGAATGGTCACGCCGGAATCTCTTCTCCTCCATTCTCCTCTCGGGATCTTGGGCACGCACGCACATGAGCCTGGCGTGAGTTTTAAGCCACCGGGTCTGGGACGTGAACCGCGGTCAACTACGTGGGAGTCCAGCGACATAGCCATTACGCTAACTGCTGGTTCCCAACTTTTCTTTAACAGATAGGGAAACTGCAGCCCAGAGAGAGGTACCATGATTGGCAGAGGTAGGAATGGAACTGATTTTCAGGATGCAGAGAAAGAGTTTTTAGAGCCAGAGAGACTTATTTCATATCCCATCTCTGCCAATAACTAGCCTTGTCAATTTGAACCAGTTATTTCCGTTCTCTAAACCTCAACTTCCTTATCTAGAAAACAGCGAAGATTAGGACCTAAATACGGTAACATGTGCAAAGCACCTCAGGACATATTTCTGACTTCTAAAAGGTCCTCAAGAAATGTTAGTTCCTGGTACCAGCAGTTGGTATAATGGCTATGTCACTGGACTCCCATGTAGTAGACCACGGTTTGAGTCCTGGACCCGGTGGCTTAAACTCACACCAGGCACATATGCCAGAGAGAATTCACATACCCTATAGCGAAAACCTCTCCAAAAAAAAAAAAAGAAAAAAGAAAATAAACATTAGTTCTCCTTGCCTTCCTGATCAGCAGGTTTCTACCACCCCACACTAGATTTTATTCCTAGATGGTCAAATAAATGGCAAAGATCAGTAACAAATTGTTCAAGGACATACAAAGAATCTTTTCTTTTTTTTTTTTTGGAGAGGTTTTTTGCTATAGGGCGCGTGCGCTCGCCAGACAGAGAGAGACATAGAGACAGAAAGCAAGAAATCACCCCCCGGGGGGATGGTCACGCCGCAATCCCTTCTCCATTCTCCTCTCGAGATCTTGGGCACGCACGCACACGCGCCCAGCATGAGTTTTAAGCCACCGGGTCCGGGACACGAACCACGGTCGACTACGTGGGAGTCCAGCGACATAGCCATTACGCTAACTGCTGGTTCCCAACATACAAAGAATCTTTAGCAAGGATTCAGACATTAGGAGGCCACTTCCTAGAGTCTGTCATGTACAACTGAACCTGTCTCCACCCCATACCTCCAAATTATCAAAGATCCCCTGACAGGACTGCTGCCACATCTGTGGCCCTCAGGTCTCCAATCCTTCTGAGGTCCTCAGAGAAGGATGTTAGAAGGATTTCCTTACCTGGGATGTCAGCATGAATAAAAGCCGGAGCATGCTTGGCTGGGGAGTGGACCAGCACCGCAGTTACACAGTGAGCACTGGCTACCTGCAGAGTTTCATCTCTAGAGAGGAGAAGCTGGAGAAACAGACAGCAGAAAACACTCTAGTCACACCACTGATAAGACCAGAGGACTTGGCCTGAGTGCCTCAAGGCAGGTGCCTAATATATTGAGCCCTCTAGCATTACACAGTACTACACAGTGTGAGACATGAGGATGGCACCCAAGGAGAAGAGCTATGGTTGCAGAAAGGAGTTTCTGTGAACAGCAGCAGGTGAGAAAAACACAATACAAAATCTACCAGTGGCACACAAAGAGCACTAAAATCACCAGCAATAAGTCCTCAGGTCTTAATCGACAAAAGTACTTTCACAGCCCTCATCTGGTTTTGATATTTGCACCAAAACTGCAACATAACAAGGGAAGGTTCTGGGATCAGCAGTTGGCATAATGGCTATGTCATTGGATTCCCATGTAGTCAACTCTGGTTTGAGTCCCAAACCCGGCGGCTTAAACTCATGTCTGGCGTGTTTGCGTTCATGTCCAAGATCCCAAGAGGAGAATGGAGGAGAAGGGATTGTGGCATGGCCATCCCCCCTGGGGGGTGATTTCTCGCTTTCTGTCTGTCTCTCTCTGTCTTTCTGGCAAGCGCACGCACCCTATAGTAAAAACCTCTCAAAAACAAAACAAAACAAAACAAGGGAAGATTCCACTACGAATCTTCACTGAGTATACAGAAAGAGCCAATAGAGTAGACCTGGGCCTAGGGGCCAGCAGGTGGTGTAGTGGTTAGGGCACTGAACTACCACAAGGTTGACTGTGGTTTGAGTCCTGGACCTGTTGGCTTGAAACTCATGGGGGGCACATGTTGGTATGTGCCCAAAATCCTAACATAAGAATAGAGGAGAGAGGATTGCAGCTTGGCCATCTCCCCCTACCTCCCTGAGGGAGTGATTTCTCACTTCCTGTCTCTCTGTCTCTTTGGTGAGCACACGTGTTCTTTACTACAAATCTCTCAAAAAACAAAACAAAACAAAACAAAAGCCCTGTCTGCAAGACTGATCTTTGTCTAGTTTTGGAAACTCAGATTTATTTTTTTCCTTTTTTTCCCCCTACTTACAGTTGCAAATGTTTTCAATTGCCAGAGAGCAGGTATGCAGAGAGAGAGACAGAGAGAGAGAGAAGAAAATACCCCCTAATGGGATGTAGTCATGTCATAATACCTTCTCCTCCATCTTTGCCTCCTGGGCATACATGTACATGCTTTCAGTGTGTTTTTAAAGCTGTCAGGGCTAGTATTCAAACCTCAATTTGTCATATGGGATCCATCCTCCTTACCACCAGGCTGGGAAATTGGATTTCGAGAGGGTTCCTACCATTCTTAGAACTAATGAGAACAGCTCATTGGGACTAAACAATTTGTACAGTGTAGTTTATGCTGAATATCTGCTTTCCTCCTAAGAGTCTGTTAGAAGGAACAGACTATGAGTATGTGTTAGGCAGAAGTTGCCTACATGACCAACCAGATGCCACTAGGAACACTGGGCAAAACTAGGGGCCAGCAGGTGGTGTAGAGATTCTAACAAACTTTGCCCGTATGCAACTTTTTACATATGGTAACTCATTACCCCAGTAGAAGAGGACTCTGAAAACTTATGCTTGGTTTACTTGGACTTTGCCCATGTGCCTTCGTCATTTGCTGATTTTGCTTTGTGCCCTTTCTCTGCAATAAGTCATAGCCAGGCCACCCAATGGCATGATGGTGAAGGCAGCTGGATTCCACATAACCAACTGTGCAGTTTGAGTCCTGGACCCAGTGACTTGAAAAACATACCAGCACATTTGCATACATGCTAAAAATCCTGAAAGGAGAAGTGAAAGAAAGGAGATTGCAAGTAAATCTATCCCCTATGGGGAAGAGGTGGGAAGGGGGCCTTTTCATTTTTTCTCTCTCAGCAAGTGAATGTGCCCTATAGGAAAAAAAAAAAAAAATTTTAAGAGAGATTTTTGCTATAGGGTACGAGTGCTCACCAGAGAGATAGAGAGAGACAGAAAGACAGAAAGTGAGAAATCACCCCTCTCGGGGGATGGCCATGCTCCAATCCCTTCTACATTCTCCTCTCTGGATTTTGGGCACACACACACACACACACACACCCAGTGTGAGTCATAAGCTTCCAGGTCTTTCTTTTTTATTTTTTAAAAATTGCTATAGGACACATGCACTCACTGGAGAGAGAGCATCCTTCAGTGGGGGAGGGGGGAGAAATGACCATACCCAATCCTTTCTCCTTTGTTCTCTCAAAATTTGGGGCATGCATGGACACATGCCAACATGTTTTTCAGTCCCAGCTGCCAGGTCTGGGACTCAAACTACACAGTCAGTCTGTGGGATCCAGTTGCTTTAACCACCAAGCCACCAGCTGGCCTTTTTTATCTTAATTACTGAGTTTTTGTTCTTGTCTTTTGTTTAAATTTGCTACAGGGTTTGTGCACTCACCAGAGAAAGAGAGGGAAAGTGAGAAAGCACCCCGCATGGGGGATGATTACACTACAATTCCTTCTTTTCTTGGGATTTTGGGCACGCATGTATATCCACCTGGTGTGTTTTTCAAATCACCAAGTGTGACACTCGAAAAGAGCAGTTGGCCATGTGGGATTTAGCCACTTTAACCACCATGCCACAGGCTGACCTAATTATTGAATTTTCTAACACCTCTCCTTAAATTTTATACCCAAGGACAAGAACCTCAGTTCACCTCCCCTAGTCTCAATTCTGCTGATTGCCATTGTGAAATAAAATCTTGGTCATCCCCAATAGCAAATGCAAGAACAGTCTCCACATATCAATGAAGATTGGAACCTCGAACCACTTCCTGTGTAAAGGAGCTAAGTGACAAGGGAGCTCTAGAGGCCTGAAGGCTGAATCAGATCTACAGGCAGAGGTAAGAGCATCCTCACAGACACAGAGAACAGCCTGGCATATGCAGGGTCCAGGAGAAGTTGCATATGGCTAGAACGCTGGGCTATGAGGTGTAAGTGAGGCTGAAGGATAAGTGGGGCACAGATAAAGAGGGCTTTCAGCACCAAGTCAAAAATCTTACCCCTAATAGAACTGAGATTACTTTATTTCTGTTACTGTATGTATTCTTCATTTTCAGGCAGCACAGATGTAAAGGGGAAGATACAAAGACAAGAATTCACAATTGAGGACCAGCAACTGGCAAAGTGGTTATGTTGCTAGACTCCCATGTAGTCGACCATGATTCAAGTCCTGGACCCGATGGCTTAAACTCACGCCAGGTGTACATGCATGTGTGCCCAAGATCCCGAGAGGAGAATGGAGGAGAAGGGATTGCGGTGTGGCCATTTCCCCTGGGGGATGATTTCTTGCTTTCTGTCTCTCTTTCTGGAGAGCACATGTGCCCTATAGCAAAAACCTCTCCAAAAAAAGAGAAAGAATTCACAATTGAAAAGAAACTTATTTTGTGTCTCCTAACACATATTGTTTTGGCCAGTGAGAAAATACTTCTGGAAATTCTAGGTAGAATGAGCAATACTTCTGAAAATATCTAGATAGGATGAAGAAAAGGCCCAGGAAGTACTTGAGTTCCCACCTTATTGAACCTAGAGACCAGGAATCACAAGGCAGCTACCTTTTTGAGCACCAAAGGCAGTGAAGTCCCTCCTGCTGGACCCTCAACACTCTCAGCACTTTCTGCCAGTGCCGACTTGTTCATGATCACAGACACAAATAGATCATACTTCAGCAGCTGCCTCAGCAAACCTAGGAAAGAAAGGAGTTGAGAAGTATCTCCATAGACATGAAAAATGGTTAGAATCCTTAGGTATCAGTTTGCTTTCAGAAACCCAGATCCCTTCCACTAGGATCTAGAGAGAACCTACTAAGTGCTAGGCTTAAGAACATAAAGATTCCACGATAAGCAACACAAACAGAGCCCCAATCACTCTACTAAACTATAGGTTTAGTGAAAGAAGAGATAATGTCAGTTTCACCATATCACCTGGCACGGTTCTTGACACAGAGCAGGAACTCAGTAAGTATTTATGCTGACAAATGGGCCATATATCCCTCCAGGGAAGACAGACATAAAATAAGTCACTCAATGACCCAGAATGTAGTGGCACATGCTACCATAACACTGTGCTCTGCAAGATGAGACCACATGAGGACCTGGGTTCTGCTCCTAGTCCAACCTAAAGGCTAGTGTGGTGGTGTGCACCTGCAGTCCAGCGACCTGCGAGGCTGAAGCAGGGTGATCATGATATAGTGAGACCCTGACTTCAAATAATAAGTCACACAAATGATCACTTATAATTGTGAAAAATGAAACAAATGAGGAATAGCCAAATATGTGAGTACACACAAGAGGATCTAAACTAGTGTGGGGGAGCACTAAAGCCTCCTCTCCACCAGTGTCAGTTAAGCTGAACCTAACAGATAAACAGGTGAAACTAGATGAAGGTAGAAGAAACAACATTCTAGGAGCTGAGAGAAAGCTGGGGTGGTTGAAGGAAAAGAGAAAAGTCCAGAAGTCATGTTTAAGAATTAGTCATACTATGAAAGAAGTTATGTTAAGAATTCTGGGCCTGGGCCAGCCAGGTGGCATGGTTAAGAAGGCTGGATCCCACCTGGCCAACTGTGCAGTTCAAGGCCTAGACCCAGCAGCTTGAAACACACTGGCTGTATGTGTGCCCAAAATCCCGAGAGGAAAGTGGAGAAGAAATTATGGTGTGGTCATCCCTCCTGGTAGCTGCTTTTTCACTCTCTCTCTGTCTCTCTCTGGTGCGCATATGCGCCTAATAGCAAACTAAAAACAAAACCGAACAAAAACTCTGGTCCTTATGTTGGATGTCACAGGAAGCCACCAAAGTATTCTAAATAATGCATAATTTAACTAACATAAACACTGCATGTCAGAATATTAAATATTAATACTAACTAATGTGAAAAGAAAAACTCAGAAGACTGTGGGTAATCAGATGAAGTAGCTAATCCAGTCTGGGGACTCAGAGAAGCCTTCTGGAAAGAGAAGACATTTGAATCAAATCTTGAAGGATGAGAAATTGGACAGGAAGCCAACTTCTGGACAGAGAAGAATGTACAAAGGCAAGAGAGTGGGATGTGTCCCTAAAGATGCTTTTGATTTAGTAAGAGTGAGCTTTGGGTAAGATTAGGACATAAGGACACATGAGACATGAGGCTGGAGAGGTCAGTTAGGTCATAAAAAGCCTATACCAATCTTGGATATTAAGGATAAATAAATAAGATGATATATAGTAAAATATATGCCACAGAGCATTTGAAAGGCTCAAAGGATATAGCCACACACCTGGCTTGGTGGAATAGGCAGTAAGCAAAAACTCCAGAGAACAGGTGGCATTTAAAATGGAATTCCAAGCCCAGTTTTGCATTAGCAACACTGTTTGCATTGGCTGCTGCTGTTTGTCTGGCTGAGGCCATGTGGGAGGCCCAGGTTGATTCCTAGCCCAACCCCAAAACAGGTCACAACAGTGAGCATCTAAAGTCCCGGCTCCTTGGGAGTCTGAGGCAGGAGGATCACAATGCAGCAAGACCCTGTCTAAAGTATTCCCCAGTGCACGTCCATATGCATGCATGTACACACAATTAAAACCACATAGACACGGAATTCCCATGTCACCAACTGTAATTTCCCTCTGCCATGCCCAGACTTGCTCTGAGACTACCCAAGGATTGACCCTAGTGTCTACGCTTGCCTCTTTTAGCCCTGATATGCTCTAACTCCAATACTGCCCTGCTCTAGGTTACCACATATATAGACTGCTTCATACCTTCACGTCCATGTTTCTGCCTTCTTCCTTTCCCTTCCTCAATTTCCTACTCAAACTTTAGGACCTCATCCATTATGCACCTCCATGATAGAACTCAACGTATTATACTTTAATTGTCTTTGTCTGTCTTCCACAGTAGACGGGAGCTTACCCAGGACAGAGCTTGGGTCTGATCATCTTTATGATCCTAGAGCCTAGCACAAGACATAGTACAGAATGAATACACATTATGTGCAGCTGAACTGTTTATAACAGAGCTCTTGGCCCAGATCATGAATAGAAGCTGCTGCTACCCATAAACTATGCAGTTTCCTAAAGCTCCTGCTCCAGTAAAGGCCCTCACCTGGTCACCGATCACAGTGACTGTCCATTCTGTCCAAAATATGAAAGCTCCCTGCTCAGAAGCATTTGAAATAGACCTTGTGTATTTATGTAAAGAAGGATCAGGAGAAAAGTCTGAAAGGTTATATTAAGGCTCCAAAAGATTCTAGAATAACTGGCCAAGAAACCTGGGCTTTACCCTGGAAGCCACAGAGAGCCATGGAAGATTTTCTGACTAAAAAAGTGAGAGGATGTGAGCTGTGCAGTGTGAAAATTAACTTGGCAGCAAGTACAGGATACACCAGAACAGTAGTAAAAATTGGGGCAGAAAAATTGCTGTCCAACTTTCTTTCCTCTTTTCTTTCTAAAGGCAATATTTCTTTTTTTAAAAAATGTTTATTTATTTATTTATTCCATGAGAGAGGGAGAAAAATAAGCACCCCAACAGAGTTTCATGTCACAATTTACCCCAGGCCTCAGTCAGCCTGTATCATATGTACCCAGTACACACAGAAGAGGCCTCAGGATGTGAACCTGGCACTGTACCATGGGAGTCCAGTTGCTTTACCACTGCACCACTTCTGGTTCCCCAAAGGCAACATTCTTAAGATGCCACACCAACTCTAGACAACTTTCACATAGTCTGCATCTGGTCTCCCAAACTCATGGTTTCTACCCTTTGCAAAGCAGCAAACTTTTCTACTACTAAAGCAGCCAATATCTCTAATCTTCAAGCAAGATCCCAAAGCTCACTCTCCCTTTTCTTTTTCTAAATTACTTTATTTAACTTTATTTATTTGTTTTTTAATTTGACCAAGTGAGAAAGCAAGCCACCAGGTCCAAGACTTGAACTGCGGCCAGCCATGTGGGTGTCCAATGCCCTTAACCACCACGCCACTTGCCGGCCCCACTCATCCTTTTCTTTTCAGCCTCATGACTTACCCAAACAGTTGATCTGTAGCTCCTTTGTCTGGGCACCATCCAAGGTGGAAAGGAAAAGGGAACATAGCTTCTCCCGGAAATGACCTGAAAGCATCTCAGCTGCCACTGGTGAGGAGTACAGCTTCCCATAGAGGTAACAGACAGAAGCTTGCACCCCCTCATTGGGGTACACCAAGCCTCTCAACAGATGCTCCATCATGTTGCCTGTCCAGAAGATACCAGGGAGCCAGGGGAAATCTCACACTATACGAAACTACAAGCTATTATCCCCAGTGGGTTAAAAATGACAATGTTGTGCAACCCCCATAATAAATGCTTTCTGGGTGATTAATAAAAAGAGAAAAACAAAGCTTAGAGAAGTTAAGTAATTTGCCCTTGGGTAAATCCTCTGTGGGATATTTATTTGCATTTCATTGATAGGAAACAGTGCTTCTATATTCCAGAACTAATTCCTCCATCTAAAAAAGTTCATGTAGGTACTTAATTAGCTGTGTTAAAAAATGAATGGAAACAGGCTAAGAACAGTCAAGAAACAATTTCAAACTGACCAACATAGAGCACATTCTGAAGAAAGGAAAAGTGAAGGCCAGAGAAGGAAAGCAAAGACTCCCCAAGGATACACAGTGAGTGAACACCCAGATGACAGCATGATCAAAACAGACAAAAGGGCAGTGGCAACTCTTCACCAGTCACTCACCGTGCTCCTTTACCAGCTCGTCTGCCAGAGCAGGGATGGCATCCACCAACTTGCCAAGAAGGGTCAGGGTGGCCAAGCTGCTTCGCATGGAGGGCATGTTACACAGCTACAGAAAGTGAACACACTCTACTCTGTTACTTAAGATCAGGATAGATTTCCCGCCAAAACTGATTATACCTTACTCTCACCAATGCCTGTATTGCTGTTCTATGTATGTTTCCCATCATAATCAGCAATCAGCTGCTTTAGCTAAGTGTCCAGGTCCCCCATCTGATTGGGAACTCCAAGTAAAAGAGCTGAGTCAAATTCCTTTCAGAGTCCTTAATATCTAGCTCAGTACATGTTTGTTAAACTAAATTAAAATTAGCATATTTTGGGGCCAGTCAGTGACATGGTAGTTAAGGCACTGGATCTCACATGGCCAATTGTGCTGTCTGAGTCCCAGACCCAGAGGCTTGTAAAACAAGCTGGGCACATGTGCATTCATACACAAAATTCCAAGATGGGCATGAAAGAGAAGGGATTGTGGTGTAGCTATCTCCCCCTTGCGCGGTGCTTTCTCACTTTCTATCTCTTTTTGTCTCTTTCTCTTCAGCAAGTTCATGTACCCTATAACAAATTAAAGGAAAAAAATATTAAATTCTTTTTGTTTTAAAGAATTATTTTATTTAACTTTATTTACCCATTTTAATTTGACCAGAGAGGGACAGGGTGAGAGAGAGACAGAGAGAGAGAGTGAGAGAGAGAGAGAGAGAAAGTCACCAGGTCATGGGCTCAAACCACTGTCAGTCATGTGGGAGTCCAGGACCCCCAATCACCACACCACCTGCTGGCAGCAATCTTTATTTTTTTTAGAATTATTCATTGGAGGAGTCTGACCCAGTAGGGCCCCAGGATCTGTTTTGAGCTTTTGACCTTTAAGTACCACTTAGGTTGGGTCAGCACGTTGGCAAGGCCGCTGCTGTGTACCCCCCCACCTCCAAACTAGGAATAAAACTTAGGTCAAATTAGCATGTCAGCAAGGCCGCTTGCTATTTGCTCCAGAAACTGTGGTAGCCTTGCTGGGAAGCGACCCCCCTCTAACTCCCTAATATACTACTATAAAAGAATTACATAGCTCCCTCATACATCTTGAGTGTGTGGTAAGATAACCAGCAGTTAGTGTAATGGCTATGTCGCTGGATTCCCACGTAGTCAACCACGGTTCGCATCCCGGACCTGGTGGCTTAAAACTCACGCTGGGCACGTGTGCGTGCGTGCCCAAGATCCTGAGAGAATGGAGGAGAAGGGATTGCGGTGTGACCATCCCCCCTGGGGGTGATTTCTCGCTTTCTGTCTCTATGTCTCTGTCTGTCTGGCGAGCGCACATGCCCTATAGCGAAAACCTCTCAAAAAAAAAAAAAAAAGGCCCTTCAAGATACATTTAACATAAGCTTAAAGATAATCTTTTCTTTACATAAAATAGGATTAGGCCAAAACTGGCCTAGGACATCCTCGCCCTCTCCAAGTAAAATAAATAAATATATTAGGATTCCTTAAATTAAGTTTTAAATCCCTATAAAACTATATAAGTACCATTCTTTATTGAAATCCATAAGAACTAATATCTATACTTAAAATTTTCTTTTCTCAGCACCATTCTCGGTAATCACAAGATGGCTGCCACGCCGCATGTGCCGCATCAGCTGATAATTATCTCTGCTTGCTGGAACTGCTTTCCCAAAACTGCATTCCATAAAGACACCTACATCAAATGAACAATTGCGAAACTGCACTAGACCCACCCGTAATCCAACCCTAAATGGAACTTATGCTCCCTATTGTTAAAACTTTATGAGCTAATAATTAAAACACATAGCCCCTCACCCATTTACTTGCATGTAAAGCATTTTCAATAAAAAGGCACGATAATTCCTAGCAGTTGTCACTCCTCAGAGAGCAATCTCTGGGGGTGTCCAGCTAAAGACGTTCATAAAAAAGGCACTGAGGCCTTAGTCTTCTTCTTTTCCAACATTGCCTCTAACGAGTCAACCCACCCCCACCGAGGCTAGACCCCGGCAATTCATTTTTAATTTTATTATTATTCTTTAATTTGACCAGAGAGAGAATGCAAGCTGCCAGGTCCAGTACTCAAACTATGATCAGCCATGTGAGAGTCCAGTGCCTTAACCACCATGCCACCTGCTGACCCCATTATTATTTTTTAATTTGACCAGAGAGAGAGAGAAGGGAAAAGTAAGAAAACAAGCCACCAGATCTGAGACTTAAAACACGGTTAGCCATGTGGGAGTCCAGAGCCTTAACCACCAGCCACCTGCCAGCCTCAAAAAAAATTTATTTTAATTAGCATTCTTTGATTCCTAAAATAATTAAAACTAGAGGGTGAAAATTGGGAACATTATAAAGACGGAACACTGATTCAGTGCAAAAAAACTGTCATTATCATCATTATTAAACATTCAATGTGCTAGGCACTATGCTTGATGCTTTACAGGTATAGTCAATAGTATATACTTAACCTTTTCTTCTGACTGGCTGTACTACTTTTGGGCAAGACTTAACATCTCTGAGAAATAATAATAGTACCAATCCCACAGGGTTGTTGGTGGACTGAATGAAATATTGTAGATAAAGCACTTAACACAGTATCTAGTGTGTAAACGTATTCAGTAGATGCTAAGTGGCATCATGATGTTAAGTACTGATACACAGAGTTAAAACTTCAGTCTGAATTTTAATCACGTGTAAAATAAGTATAATAATCTAATTTAAATATAATTGATAATTAAACATTGCTTGTAATGGTATTAAACATTGCTTGTAATGATAATACATTTACCTTACCTTTTGTTTTTTGTTTTTGCTATAGGGCATGTGTGCTTGCCAGAGGCTAGAGAGAGACAGTCAGAGAGGGAGGGAAAGTGAGAAACCACCCTCCCAGAGTGATAGCCACACTGCAACCCTTCTCCTCCATTTTCCTCTTGGGATTTTGGGCATGTGCACATATGTGCCTGACTTGTTTTTTAAGCCACAAGGTCTGGGACTCAAACTGTGCAGTCAGGCAAGTGGAAAACAACCACCTTAACCTCCACGCCACCTACAGGACCTATGTTAAACATCTTTGTGCCTTCTATAAAATAAAAAGTGATTCTGATACTATTTCTCAAACATAATACAAAGGACACTGTTTGATATCTTAGACTACAATGAAGAAAGCAGGTTAATATCCATACGATGCTATCCATACAATGCTAGATGCTGGTAAAAGCAAATGCTTTTTAAAATGGTAATAAAAGCCTTGTCAGGGGTGGCAGGTAGTATGCTGGTTAAGGATGCTGGACTCCAATGGCTGACCATGGCTCGAGTCCTGGACCTGGCAGCTTGCTTTCTCACTTTTTCTTTCTCTCTCTCTCTCTCTCATTCTGTCCCCCTCTGGTCAAATTAAAATACATAAATAAAATAAAATAAGTTTTTTTTAATTATGCATTTAAAAAAAAAAAAGACCTTAAGGGGGCTGGCAGGTTGCACAGTGGTTGGAGTGCTAGACTCCCACATGCCCAACTGCAGTTTGCGTCCCAGACCTGATGGCTTGAAACGCACTGGGTTCGTGTGTGCGTGCCCAAGATCCCAGGAGGCGAAGGAATTACAGCATAGCCATCCTGCAGGGGGGTAATTTCTCATTTCCTGTCTCTCTATCTCTGTCTCTCCAGTGAGTGTGTGTACCCTATAGCCATAAAAATCTCTCTCAAAAAAAAAAAAGCCTTCAGTACAATATATACAATTTAAAACCAAATAAAAACACCAAACCAAGACATAATGAACATTTTTTCCTTGATAAATTCATCAATGAAATCTGAATTATATTTAGAAAGACATAGATAATGGACTATGAATGATTATACTAGAAAGACGAAACTTTATCCCATGAAAGCAGCATTTGGGAAACCAATGGCAAGGAAGGAAGCTGTAGAGTACTTGAAACAGGAAGATCAAAAGCTCTGGCCCAGCTCCAGCTCTGCCTCTAACTCGGTGACCTCAGGCAAGCCCCTTTTCCTTTTGGAGGTTAAACCTTCCCGTCTATTCCAAGAAGGGGTGGCCCAGTTCTGACATCTGAAGAGTTCAATAACCCACAGTTACTTACTAACCTCTTTGTGGCATTCATCCAGCAAGCAACGGACAGTCTGCTCCAGCTTCAGCTGTATTGTAAGCTGGACAAGGACTAAGTAAACACAACAGCATTACTAACCATAAAACAGCCTGAACCAGAATTCACCTTTGATAGTCCTTCTGCTCAAAGTCAATGCAGGGCAAGGATTTGCTTGTATTAACCAGTATTGGTCTTTTCTATATCTCCCATAAACTGTGTGTGCACATCGTAACTAAAGAATTTCTGACTTCATTGTTTGATGTTTTCAGTGATTCTCAACTCACACAGCACACAAGAATTGCCTAGGAAGCTTTTCTTTCTTTCTTTTTTTTTAATTGCCAGAAGGCAGATACACTCTCCAGAGAGTGAAGGAAAAAGCATTCCCCAGTAGGAGTATGGTCACACTGCAACCTCTTCTCCATTTCTCTATCCCATCAGGACTTTGGGCACACATGCACATGCAACTGATGTGTTTTTCAAGCCATGAGGGCTAAGACTCAAGTCACAGTCAGTCAAGTGGGATCTAATTCCCTTAACTGCCAGACCATGAGGCTGGTCCAAGGAAGCTTTAAAAAAAGTCTTACCCCAGACCAACTGAATCAGAATCTCCATGGGGAAAGTGAGACCAAGCATCTTTATATTTTTAAATGTAAAGATATATAAATGGGAGATCAGCAGATAGCATAATGGCTATGTCACTGGACTCCCATGTCATCAACTGTGGTTCAAGTCCCAGACCCGGTGGCTTAAACTCACACCAGGCACGTGTGCATGCGTGCCCAAGATCCCAAGAGGAGAATGGAGGAGAAGGGATTGTGGCATGGCCATCCCCCTGGGGGGGTAATTTCTCACTTTCTGCCTCTCTGTATCTCTCAGTCTTTATGGTGAGCTTATGCGCCCTATAGCAAAAAACTCTAAAAAAAAATACATATACATATATATAAATGAGCAGGCTGGTGGTGTGATGGTTGGGTTGGGGTGCTGGACTCCTATATAATTGAACGTGGTTTGAGTCCCAACCTGGTGGCTTGCTTTCTTATTTTCCCTTTCTCTGTCTCTCTCTACTCAAATTTAAAATGATTAATTTAATTAACCTTTTTAAAAAAAGAAATATAAACATATATTTTTACATTTAAACATGTTTATATTTCATTATATGCTGCTTATTACACATTTTTGAGAGATTTTTGCTATAAGGAGCATACATTCACCAGAGAGACAGAGACAGAAAATGAGAAATCACCCCCTTGGGGGATGGGCACATCGCAATCCCTTCTCTTTCATTCTCCTCTTGGGATTTCAGGCATGTACACGCATGCACCTGGCATGAGTTTTAAGCCACTGGGTTTGGGATTCAAACCACAGTCAACTATGTGGGAGTCCAGCAATATAACCATTACACCATCTGCTGGTCCCAGAGGATGGACCTTTTAAAATGGACACAGAATGTGAAGATAGTTGGGTCTCATGTGAATGCTACCTATAGAGCATCTACTACAGAGGAGGTTATCACAATCAGGTGAACAAAACAATTCTTTTTTGTGTCTGTCAATCTATCTCTTTCTCCAGATACCTGTGTTTATTCAATGGGCCCATGTATAGAGTGGCCATGGTGGCAGAGTTGGAGGCTATGCTACAGCTCAACAACATGGACTTCCCCTCATCAAGACTGAATTTATTCCTGCTACTACTGAGTGCCTAAGCCGCCAACAGCGGAGACTAACACTAAGCCCCTCAATATGGCACTGTTTCCTAACTGACTGGGACCAATCAGTCATAGGCTAGCAGGTGGATTTCACTGTTCCCCTTCCATCATGCAGGGGCAGAGATTTGTCCTCATTGGAACAGACATATTCTGAATGTGGATTTGTCTTCCCAAACCATAATGCTTTTGCCAGCAACACATTTTTTAAAAAATATATTTATTTTTATGTATTTATTATTATTATTTAATGTTCTACAGTGCACACATGCTCACGGGAGAGAGAGTGGAAAAGTGAGAAAGCGAGCCACTAGGTCTAGGTCTAAAGCCGTGGTCAGCCATGTGGCAGTTCAGCATCTAAACCACCACTCCACCTAGCGGCCCTGCCAGCAACACATTTGTATATTGACAGACTGCCTTGGTATCGTGGTATTCCACATAACACTTAGGACAGAAATTCATTCCACAGCAAGACAAGTGCACACACAAGCAAGCAATGGGCGCATTGATCTTATTCTATACACTATCACCCAGAACCAACAGGCCTAAAACAAAGTGGAATGGCCTATGAAGACTCAGTTACAGTAACATTTGGAAGACATCCTTCTGAAAGAATGGGGTTCTATCTTACTGTTGTATATATACATCTTGAATCAGTGAGCAACCTAAGGTATTATCTTTCCCAAAGCAGAATGCATGGGTCAGGGAATCAAGAGGTTAAGTAAGAGTCATTCTTCTTACTATTACACTTAATAATCCACTTGTAAAATTTCTCTATCCTGTATTAGCTTGCTATGACTTATAGAATAAAATGCTACAGTCCAGGTAGCTTAAACATTAGAGGTTCATTTTCTTATAGTTCTGGAGGCTAAAAGTCCAAGATCAAGGTGTCTGCAGATTGTTTTCTCTGAGGTCTTTCTTCTTGGCTTACAGATGGCTGTCTTCTCACTGTGTCCTCACATGGTCCTTCCTTTATATACCTGTCTCCCTAGAGTCTCCCTATATGTTCAAATTTCCTCTTCTTATAAGAACACCAATCAGATTGGATTAGGACCATCTCATTTAACTTAATCACATTTTTTAAAGACTCTATTTCCAAATGTACTAACATTATGGTATTGGGGGACTAGGGACTTAATATATGGATTTGGGGAGGGAGAAGATACAATTCAGCCTATAACATATCCTATCTCCACAAGTTTGAGCTCTGCTGGTTTAAAGATCCTCAGGGAATAAGGTTTCCATTAGAAGACACGTAATGGTTTCATTGAATTAGAAGCCGTGTGGTCTGACTGTGGCATAGTGATAAAACATGATGCTCTATGAAGCAAACCCACATGCAAAGGTCCAGGTTCTTGTCTAGAGACCTCCCAGAGTATGCCAGGCACAAGTCTACCCATGATCCAAGGCTAACTAAAGCTGAGGGTGGGTCATGGTATCAGGACCCTGCTGGGGTACTATCCTAATGTCTATCTCATTCATGGAATAAATAAATAAACTTTTTTAAAAAGTTATAATTATCATCTGATCATTTTGAGCTCCTCATGCCATTGAGTCAATAGGCAAAAAATGGTTTATTCTACTACCTGGAATGATTGATTCCAATATCCAGGAGTGTAATACTATTGTTGCTAACAAAGACAGGGAGGACATGGCTGGAACCAGATATTCTCTGGAGCACCTCTTACTGCTTCTATGTTCAATAACAAAAGTTAAAGGAAAATTTCAGGAGACCCCCCCCCAAAAAAAAAGGCAGACAGGGGGTCAGCAGGTGATGTAGCGGTTATGGCAATAGATTCCCACATGGCTGATCATGGTTCAAGTCCCAGACTCAGCCGCTTAAAACTCACATTGGGTGTATGTGTGCATGCATGCCCAAAATCCTGAGAGGAGAATAGAGGAGAAGAGATTGTGTTGGGCCATCCTTCCTCGGGAGTGATTTCTCACTTTCTGTCTACCAGCTTCAAATGCTAGGTGTACAAAGTTTCACCTTACCTTCAATACAGAGCTCTGTTACACTCTCGTCTTCTACACTTCTTAATAGTCCTTGGAGTAGAGGGAGATAAAAGAGTGGTTAACCTACTCTCTTTAAAAAAAAAAAAGAACTCATGAATTCTAAGACTAATAGGAGTTTTAAGCAATGTCCCATGTAAATTCTACCCTCACTATCAAACATCTAGACTTTCAATAACTCACCCCCACTTTAAAAACAACTATCAAAGGACCAGCAAATGGCATAATGATTGTGTGGCTGGATTTCCAAGTGGATGACCAAGGTTTCAATCCTGGACCCGGAGGCTCATATGTGTGCATCACACCAGGCACATGTATGTGCATGCCCAAGATCTCAAGAGAAGAATGGAGGAGAAAGGATTGCAGTGTGGTCATCCCCCTGAGGGGTGATCTCTTGCTTTCTCTCTCTCTCTCCAGCGAGCAAACATGCCTTATAGCAAAAATCTCTCAAAACAAAAAAAGGACTGTCAAAGTGGCATAGCAGAAATACTGTGTGCTCCGGAGTCTATGACAGACTAGCCATTTGTTAGCTATGACCTCCCTGAGCCTTAAAGATTATCCTATATCCCCTAAAGGACTCTCTTGGTAATTATAAGAAAAACATCCAACACAAGTTAGCTGCCCTCTTCCCCAAAAGAGTTCATTCCATTGGACATTATAATCATATTAAAAGAAAATCTCAGATAAAATTTAATCCATCTCACTTTATTCATGAAAAAAAATAAGGAACAGAAGAGGGGAAGCAATTTGATCAAGGTCACACCCAGACCAGCAGACTCAGTTCTGGGCTTCCTAATGGTCCAATGACCATATAGACTGAACTCTTTGAATGATCAAGCATTTCTCATATTCATACCCCACTAACCTCTCAAGTTCTAGTAAAGCCAATTGCCATAAAATGCATCATGCATCTTAGAAAAGGGAGCCATTTCTACATCATGAGAAAACAATTTGCTAATAACCTGAGTTTTTAAAATTTATTTATTTATTTGTTGTGATTTTTCAAGTCACTGGGTCTGGGACTTGAACTGCAGCTAGCTATGTGGGAATCCAGCACCTTAACCACTATGCCATCTACTGGCCCCAGTAAACTGTTACAATATACTATAAGTCAGGGCCAGCAGGTGGCATAGTAGTTAAGGTGCTGGACTTCCACATGACCAACAATGGTTTGAGTCCTGGACCTGGAAGCTTGAAACTCACATCGGGTGCATGTGCGTTCATGCCCAAAATCCTGAGAAGAGAATGCAGCATGACCATATTCCTTGGGGGCTGATTTCTCACTTCCTCCCTCTCTGGCTCTCTCTGGCTCTCCAGTGAGTGCAGGCACCCTATAGCACAAAAAGTCTCTCGGAAAAAAAAAAAAAAAAGAAGTCTAAGTCATTTTTCCAAGACCATTTCAAGTCTCTTACAAAGCAAACATACTACATGCTACACATGCAAAACTCATGCTAAATTTTCTTTTATTTTATTTTCCAGAAATATTTCTACAATAGGGCATGGGCACTTGCCAGAGACACAGAGACAGAAAATGAAAAACCACCCTCCTTAGGAAGGTGGGGATGGCCACGCTGCAATCCCCTATTCTCTGTTCTCCTCTCGGGATTTTGGGTACACACACACACGTGCCTGGTGTGAGTTTCAAGATGCTGGGTCCAGGACTTGAACCATGGCCGACTATGTGGGTGTCCGGTGCCTTAAACACCATGCCATCTGCGGGTCTCTAAATTTCCCTTTTAATCTCACCAAAAAGGATGCTTATGAAGTGGATGCAGACTCTCTGGTCTTGAGCCACCAGCTGTGTGACCAGGGAGGTGTGCCTTACAAAGGCATCTCGGAAGCAGGACAACATGTGCTTCTTGCGCACCAACTTGGAGCAAACAAACAAACAAAAATTAATAGCAACCAAGACTCAACCATTCTGAACCCAAACAACTGAAATTTTCAAATATAATTATAAAATGATACTAGGTAGATCATCCCATGTATTCATACAGAAGAAATACATGAGCTCAGATTCATAATACACTATATTTACATAGTGTTTTACTCTTCACAATCACTCTTTTGTCCACCAGCTCATTTAAGCCTAACGAGTTGGTGAAATAAGCAAAAATATATATTATTTTCACTATTTTGGAAATGGAAAACTGAGGCTTAGAGACTTTCCCAAGGACTCAAATCTAACTCTCTAAGCAGGTCTTGCCTAAGGCTCTTCCCACTTCAACAGACTGGAGAGTAATATTGGAGAGCTGCACAGAGGTAAATTGAGAAAACACATGCCTCCATTCAATGTAGGCATAACTCTTTACAAATTACCTCCCTCTAAAGAAAACTGGGTGGCAGATGTGGAAATGTCCAGAACAGTAACAAAAGTTAGATCTAAAAAGGGGTGAGTACTGAGGATGGGACAGGAATGTGGGTATGACTGACTACAATTGATTGGTTAGAGACGAGATTAAGAAAGTGGTCAAAGAGCCAGCTGGTGGCATGGTGGTTAAGGCTCTGGTCCACAGTTCAAGTCCCAGACCTGGCAGCTTGAAATCCATGCCAGGTGTGTTTGTATGCATGCCCAAAAGCCTGAGAAGAGAATAGAAGGGACTTTGGCATGGCCATACTTCCTGGGGGTGATTTCTTGCTTTCTCTCTCTCTGTCTTTCCAGTGAGCATATGTGCTCCATAGCAAAAATCACTTTAAAAAAGAAAATTAAAAAAAAGAAAGTGCTTGAAAAAAATATAAAAATTGCATCTCTATTTTTTTTTTTTTTAAGAAAAATCTTTTATTTCCTACAGGGCATGGAGACACAGAAAGGAAAGTGAAAAAGCATCCCCTAAGGAGATGGGCACACTGCATTCCCTTCTCCTCCACTCTCCTCTTGGGACTTTGGGCACACACACACATGCCTGGTGTGTTTTTCGTACCTGGCATATTTTTCAAGCTGCAGGCTCAAACCATGTAGTTGGTCAAGTGGGATCCAGCTGTCCCAACCACCACACCACCTGGATGGCCTCAAAAGTTGCATCTATTTTTTGATTTTTGTTTTTGAATTTTTTTTTTAGGTTTTTGCCATAGGGTATGTGCACTCACCAGAGAGAGACTGAGAGAGGGAGAGCGAGAGCGAGAGAGAGAGAATGAGGCAAAGTGAAAATCGTCCCCCAGGAGGGATGGCCATGCCACAATCTTCTCCATTCTCCTCCTGAAATTTTGGGCATGCATGCACACGCACTTGGCGTGAGCTTCAAGCCACTAGGTCTAGGACTCAAGCCACAGTCAACAATGTTGAAGACCAGTGCTTTAACCACCTGTGCACCTGCTGGCCCCGAAAGTTGTATCTCTTCTTAAGAGAGAATTTTTGCTATAGGGCGCATGCACTCACTTGAAAGAGAAAGACAGAGACAGAAAGTAAGAAATCACCCCCCAAGGGGGATGACTATGCTACAACCCCTTCTCCTCCTTTCTCCTCTTGGGATTTTGGAAATGCATACACACACACCTGGCCTAAGTTTCTTTCTTTCTTTTTTTAAAAAAAAATATTTAATTTTACTTATTCATTCATTTATTTTAATTAAACCAGAAAGAGACACACAGAGAGAGAGAGAAAAGTGAGAAAGCAAGCCACCAGGTCCAGGACTTGAACTGTGGTCGGCCATGTGGCAGTGTCCAGCACCTTAACCTCCATATCACCTGCTGGTCCCAGGTTTGTTTTGTTTTGTTGTTTTAAGAATTATCGGGACCAGCAGTTAGTGTAATGGCTATGTCGCTGGACTCCCATGTAGTCGACCGCGGCTCGCATCCCGGACCCAGTGGCTTAAACTCACTCTGGGTGCGTGTGCGTGCGTGCCCAAGATCCCAAGAAGAGGATGGAGGAGAAGGGATTGCAGCATGGCCATCCCCCCTGGGGGGTGTGTGATTTCTCGCTTTCTGTCTCTCTGTCTCTCTGTTTGGCTAGCACCTGCACGCCCTATAGCAAAAACCTCTCCAAAAAAAAAAAAGAATTATCTTATTTAACTTTATTTATCCATTTATTTATTTACTTTCAAATTTGACCAGAGAGGGACAGCATGAGAGAGAAAGTGAGAAAGCAAGCCGCCAGGTTTGGGATTTGAACCATAGTCCACCATATGGGAGTCCAGCACCCTTAACCACTGCCACCTACCCAGGATGAGTTTTAAGCCACTGGACTGGGACTCAAATCACCATCAACCACATGGAAGTCCAGTGATGTAACCATTACTCCATCTGCTGGTCTCAAAAGTTGCATCTCTTAATCATTTCTAACCAATGCTATGTCTCGCTTTTTTTTTTTTTTTTTTGCCAGATGTGTGCTCTCACTAAAGACAAAGAGAGAGGGACAGTGAGGAGAAAGTATCCCCTATTGAAAACCGTCACGTTGCAATCCCTTTTCCTCTCTCTCTCCATCCTGTCAGATTCCCGTGTGCTCAAAATATTTTTCAAGCTACTGGGCTAGGACTCAAATCAGGTTGTCAGCCATAAGGAACCTTAGATACTAGGCCACAGACTGGCCCAAGCCTCTTTTTTTTTTTTCCTTCACCAATTCATCTTATATAATAATGAGCTAAAGGAGCTACTTCTAAAGTCTCAGTAATTCCCTTTCACCTGACAGATTTTCATTTGCTTGAATTCAATCTCTTTAAGGCACTGATCTCAACCTAGCTAAGCAGGCTCTCAACTCCTTCAATTTCCCTTCTAACACTCTGATTACACCCACAAACTCATTCCTCTAATATCTACCTCCTTAGGATAAGCCTCCCATCTTCTCTGGTCCAAAAGTTACCCATTGTCTTAAGCCTAATTCATTTCTTCCTGTAAGAAAACCTTTCCAAATTTCCCTTCTTACTCTGCATAGCATAACCACTTACATGTTCATTCTTCTAAATTCCCTACCGCAATGCAATGTCTTATTTCTCTCTGAATCACTGTACAAGATATAGCAGCCTCAGAACTTCTGGCCCCAGTGAACGCTCAGAGGTTACTAGCTAGGTCAGCAATTCTCAGAGTGCCGTCTGGGGATCCTTGAGGATGCCCAAGTCCTTTTCCAGAGGGCCATGAGATCAAAATTATTTTCATATAATATCACAATGTTCTTGGCCCTTTTTACTCTTATTTTCCTCCAAGCGTACAGTGGAATTTCTCATAGACTATATGACATGCAATAGTACAAAAGACTGAATGCGTGAACAGGTGAGAATACACCTGTCTTTTAAGCCAACATCAAAAATGTAAAACAAAGCTATTCCTTCACTTTCTTTTTTGTTTTGGGAAAATATAGAAATATAGTTATTTTATCCTGTTTTAATTCTCTTAGATTTTTATTTTTTAAATTATTTAACTTTATTTATTATTATTTTTTTAATTTGACCAGAGAGAGGGGGAAAGTGAGAAAGCAAGCTTACAGGTCTGGGACTCAAACCATGGTCAGCCACGTGGGAGTCCAGTGCTCTAACCACATATCACTTGCTGGCACCAAGATTTTACTTTTATTTATTTATTTACTTGCCATAGGGCACATGCATTTTCCAAAGAAAGAGAGGGGAAGCAAGAAATCAACCCCATGGGGGATGGTTATGCCCCAATCCCTTCTCCTTTCTCCTCTCAGGATTTTAGACATGCACGTACAAGTGCCTGAAATGTTTTTCAAGCTGCCAGTCTGGAACTTGAACTGCAGAATTGACTATGTGGGGTTCAACACCTTAACCACCATGCCACCTGCTAGATGGTTAATTTTTTTTTTTTTGGAAAGGTTTTTGCTATACTGCACGTGCACTCACCAGAAAGACAGAGACAGAAAGAAAGTGAGAAATCCCCCCCACCCAGGGGAGATGGCCATGCCACAATCCCTTCTCCTCCATTCTCCTCTCGGGATCTTGGGCACACACACACATGTGCCCAGCGTGAGTTTAAGCCATCGAGTCTGGGACTACAACCGTGGTCTACTACATGGGAGTCCAACGACATAGCCATTAGCCAACTGCCGGTCCTGCTACTTGTTTAATTTTATTTTAAAGTTACTTATGCCACAGATCTGTAAATTGGTTTTTTTTTAAAAGAATTATTTTATTTAATTTTATTATTTATTTATTTGTTTATTTCAATTTGACCAGAGAGAGAGAAAGCCGCCAGATCCAGGACTTGAACCACAGTCAGCCATGTGGGAATCCAACGCCTTTAACCACCATGCCACCTGCCGGCCCCAATTATTTATTTAATTGTATTTGTTTTTTTTTTTTTGTTTTTGTATTTGTTTTTTTTTTTTTTGTTTTTTTTTGTTTTTTTGAAGAGAGAGGGAAAGTGAGAAAGCAAGCTGCCAGGTCCAGGACTTGAACCACGGCCGACCCAATAGGAGCCCAGCATCCTAACCACCACGCCACCTGCCGTCTCCCGATCTGTAAGTTTAAAATGGGTTAAAATGATAAATTGTTTACCACAATAAGAAAATTCATTACATTAATATTTTACTATTGCTTTTAAATGAATTAGTATCTTTAAATTTTGTTTTTATTTCTCATTCAGAAAATGTCGGTGGATATACCTCACATAAGCAAAAGATTTTTGGGATCTTCAACAATTTTTAGAAGCGGAAAGACATCCCTAGATTAAAAAAATGTAGAAACTGCTGACGTAGCCCATCGTGTTCCCCCCACACACACACACACACAAATTCCTCTTCCATGAATTTGAGAGAAAACTGATCTTCCAAACCCTTCTTGGAAGCCTTCACAGACAAAAATCTCACAGTAGAGGTGGGGTGGGCATTGAGGGAACAGGCGGCCCACGTTTCAGCCAGCTCTGCCTACTAGAAAGGTCATCCTGTCCGCCCACTCCTGCCATTGCACAGAGCAAGGCAACCCCCTCCTCCACGTTCACACCCTGGGATAGCTGAAGCGAATGAAAGCTCCCACAGCTGGGTAGAGACTAAAATTCAGCCAAGGCTGAATCCTGGAGAAATGGAGACGGGCCCGGTAGAGGGAAGGGGAACCAAGGCGTATGTGCTAGTTAGCGTTGGGGACTCCGAGGGACCCGAGGGACCCAGGCTTAGCGTGGATAAGGCAGAGTTTGGGAAGGGGCTATTTGAGCTCTGACCAGGGCGGCTTGTACAGGAGACCGGGGCTGAGCCGGGCAGGAAAGGCCCCCTTCGCCAGGGGAGTCGGTAGGCCTGGTATGGGGTGGACCTCATCCAAGGCGGGTGGGCCCGGGCTAGGTTCCGAGAAGGACGTTGGGTTCGCGGGGCCTGGGCAGGCGCGGGGCGGCCTTGTGGGCTGAGGGAACGCCCAGCCCGGCCGTCCGGGGAAGGGCCCGTCCGCACCGACACGCAGGGCTCCGGCAGCAGCTCCAGTGCGCAGGCCAGGCAGAGGCGTGGGGACACGGGCAGCAGCCAGCGTGGGTCGTGCCGGTAATGAGCCCTTTCCAGAAGCAGCACCGCCTCTTCGTTCCTCTCCGGCCCTGGAGGACCCACAGCGGCCGCCGACCTCACAGCCATCTCCGGCTCGCCCTCCACGAGTCGGCACTTCCCGCGCAGTTTCTGCGCAAGCGCATTTGGCTGCGAGGCTTACTCCTGAGAGCGCCTGCGCAGACCGAGAGCTAGGCAAGTTCCAAAACGCAAGGACCCTGGTGGGCGCGTGGTAGGCGCAAGGGCTCTGAGCCAGCAGGCAGGAAGCGCTACGTTAGAGTCCTCCACACCGAAGGTTGAAAAGCATTTAGAAGATAGGCTTCCAAGGTTTTCCAGTGGCCTTGAAAAAGAAAGAAAAGGAAGCGACCTGGCTTTATTTTTTAAAAAGCAAGATAGGGAACCAGCAGTTAGCATAATGGCTATGTCACTGGACTCCCACGTAGTTGACCGCGGTTCGCGCCCCAGACCTGGTGGCTTAAAACTCACGCCGGCCGCGTGTGCGCCCAAGATGCGGAGAGGAATGGAGGAGAGGGGATTGCGGCGTGACCATCGCCCCTAGAGGGTGATTTCTCGCTTTCTGTCTCTATGTCTCTGTCTGTCTGGCAAGCGGACGCGCCCTATAGCGGAAAAAAAAAAAAAAAGGGCAAGATAAATGATCCCAGGGATGTGTATCTGAAAGCTATTAGAATTACGAAATGTGCGTAACACCTTTCTCTCAATCTAGGACACTCCCTTTGAACACATTTTTTTTTTTAATTGCCAGATGGCACATGCACTCACCAGACAAAAGAGAAAGACAAAGAAATAGAAACAGACAAAAAGAGAAAGACAGAGAAAGCACCCCCTATGGGGTATAATCAATGCCAGATCCCTTCTCCATTTCTCCATCCTGTCAGGGGCTTGCCTCCAAGCACACACAACCCTGGCACATTTATTTCAAGCCACAGGGGCCACAGTCCAAACTTAGTCAGTCATATGGGATCCAACTCACTCAACCACTATACTAGAGAGTCAGCCTGACAATCTTTTTTCTTTTTTATAAATAATTATTTATTTAATTTTACTTATTCATTCATTTATTTTAATTTGACCAGAGAAAGACAAACACACAGAGAGAAGGAATTGGAGAGGCAAGCCACCAGATCTAGGACTCAAACCATGGTCAGCCATGTGGAAATGTCCAGCACCTTAACCACCACACCATCTGCTGGCCCTTTATTCTTTTTTAAAATTTTGCCAGAGGGTACATGCATTTGCACGGGCGTGGGAGTAGGGAGGGAAAGCAAGAAAGTACCACCCCATGGGGAATGGTCATACCAAACTGTATATGCAAAAATGTAAAATAAACAAAAAAACAAGTATTTATTTGCATATCTTAAATACATTATAGAAGTAATACCTTGTTCATGAAGACATAAAACAGGAAGATAATATACAAGTTCTAATAAATTTTTCATAGATTTTAAATATGGTGCATATTCATGCCAGAAAGAGACAGAAAAGTGGAGGTGGGGAGTGAGAAAACACCTTTCCCTCCAGAGGTGATGGCCATGCTGCAATCCCTTCTCCTCCATTCTCTTCCTAGGATTTTGGGCACACACACGAGCCCAGCATGTTTAAGCCAGGACTTGAACCACAGTCAGCCATGTGGGATCCAGCTCTCGTAACCACGTTACCAGCTGACCCTGTTAAGTGCTTTTTAAAAAATATTTTATTTCTTTCCTAAGACAGTGTGTGAGAGAGAGGGCACATGCACACAAGAGACACAGAGAGGGGCAGCATGAAAGCCTTGTCATACCACAGTCTCCTTCCCCCAGCCCAGTGTGGTAAAGTGCTTATTTTCAGAGAAAAATATATCATGTGTATATTCCATATCCTTCAACGTATTCTCTAGGGAGCTAGCATGTGGTGTGGTGGTCAAGGTGCTAGACTCCCACATGGTCCACTGTGGTTTGAGTCCTGGACTTGGTGGCTTGACAATCACACCAGGCATGTGCGCATGCATACCCAAGATCCTAGGAGGAGAATGGAGAAGGGATTGTGTCATGGTCATCCACTCGGAGAGTGATTTTGCACCTTCCCTCTCACTGTCTCTCTCTCTCTCTGGCAAGCACACACGCCCTATGGCAAACTCCCTCCCCCCCAAAAAAATTGTATTCAGTATACTTTCTAATTGCTAGAGGATGAATGCACTTGCCAGAGAGACCATAGAGACACAGTGATGGAGAGGGAGAAAGCACCCCTTAGTGAGGCACAGCATCACCTTAATCCCTTCTCCATATTTCCATCCCATCGGCACTGTCGGCACAAATGTACGCCCACACACCCAGCTTGTTTTTCAAGAGGACAGGGCCGAGATTTAAACTGTGCTGCTGGTCATGTGGTATCTGACTCCCTTAACTATTAGGTCAAAGGGCCAGCCCTCTTCCTTGCTTTCGAATCCCCTAGCTCCTTGCAGTTTCTGGCTTGTAATTTTTGTGCGTTTGTTTGTTTGGTTTGATTTTCTTTTTTTTTTTTTTTTTGGCTCATAATTTTTGTCAAACAGAATAATACTGTGTCAACATCATTTTTCTTTTTTTTTTTGAGAGGTTTTTGCTATAGGACGCGTGCGCTCGCCAGACAGACAGAGAGACAGAGAGATAAAAAGCGAGAAATCACCGCCCAGGGGGGATGGCCATGCTGCAATCCCTTCTCCTCCATTCTCCTCTTGGGATCTTGGGCACGCACGCACACGTGCCCGGCGTGAGTTTTAAGCCACCAGGTCCAGGACGCGAACCATGGTCGACTACGTGGGAGTCCAGCAACATAGTCATTACGCTAACTGCTGGTCCCATGTGTCAACATCTTAAAATCACATAGAGGCCTGCCTGTGGGTTGAAAATCACACCAGGCACATGTGCATGCTTGCCCAAAATCCCAACAGGATGGAGAGATGTAGAGGAGATTGCAGCATGAACATGCCCCCATCCCTCTCTGCCTCTCTCTAGCAAGTGCATGTGCCCTCTGGCCAAAAAAAAAAAAATGTTTAAAAGTAAAGAAAAGATAGGGGCTGGCAAGTGATATAGTGGTTAGAGGTGCTGGATTCCCACATGGCCAACTGCAGTTTGAGTCCTGGACCTGGCGACTTGCGTTCTCGCTTTCCCTTTCTCTGTCTTTGTCTCTCTCTGGTCAAAATAATAATGACAAATGTAAATTAATTTTTAAAAAGTAAAGAAGAGATAGTCCTTGCCCTCAGGAAATCAGTCTCTGGCCAAGGAAACACAAAAACATGTAGAGTATATGTGTGTTATTTACTACTATAAAACAAATGATCCCATACAGTAGGTTGAAAGACAGCCCTCAAAAATATTTATCTACCTTTGCTATGAATTGAATTGTGCCCTCCCCTTAGAATTCATGATGAAACTGTAACCCCAATGTGAGTATATTTGGAGATTAGGCTTTTAGGAAGTAATTAAAGTTAAATGAGGTCTTAAGAATGGGCCCTCGGGAGCAGCAGATGGTGTAATGTTTACGTCGCTGGACTCCCACATAGCTGAGGAACCCGGCAGCTTGAAACTCCCACTGCGACTCACACTGGGCACATGTGTGTGCATGCCCAAAAGCCCAGGAGGAGAATGGACTGTGGCGTGGCCATCCTCCCAGAGGGTAATTCTTCAATTTCCCTCTCACTGTCTCTGTCTTTCTCTCTCTGGTGAGTGCACACCCCCTAAGGCAAAACCTCTTAAAATTTTTAAAAAATATATATATTTACATATATAGTAAGATTTCAGTTACATGAAGTATTTATAGTAGTCAAAGCAAAAAGTCAGAAAATAAAATGGTGGTTGCCAGGGACTTGGGGGAGGAGGGTATGGGGAGTTGTTCAATGAATACAGTTTTACATGACAGAGTTCTGAAGACAGATGGTGGTGATTGCATATTATGAATGTATTTAGGAACACAATGAGACAGCCCATGGCCTGGTGGTTACATGAACTAGATCCCACATGGCAGCTAGTGCAGTTGGTGGCTTGAGAAATACACTGGACATGTGTGCGTGTGTGCTCAAAATCTTGAAAGGAGAGAGAAATGGAAGAAAAGTGATTGCCAAGTGACCATTCCCCTTGCTCCTCCCACTCCCACAGCTATCTCTCTCTATTGAGTATACATGCCCTCTGATAAATGAAAAAATAGTAACACTTGGCCAGAGGGTGGCATGATGGTTAGGATGCCTGACTCCCACTTGGCCAACCGCAGTTTGAGTCCCATAACTGATGACTTGCTTTCTCTCTTTTTTTTTTTTTTTGCATCTCTTTGGTGAGTGCATGTGCCCTGTGGGAAATTAAATAATAATTTATTAATAAAAATTCATAAATACTGGGACCAGCAGATGGCATAATAGTTATGTTGCTGGACTCCCACATAGTTAAATGCGGTTCAAGTCCCAGACCCGACAGCTTCAAACTCACACCAGGTGAGTGTATGTGTGTGCACAGATCCTGAGAGGAGAATGGAGGAGAAGGGATTGTGGCCTGTCCATCCACTGGGGGGGGGGGGGTTGAGTTCTCACTTTCTGTCTCTCTCTCCAGCAAGCACACACGCCCTATAGCAAAAATCTGTCTTAAAAACAAAATAAATTCTTTTTAGAAAGCAGTAACATTTAGGAGCCAGCAGTTAGGGTAATGGCTATGTCGCTGGACTCCCACGTAGTCGACCGCAGTTCGCGTCCCGGACCCGGTGGCTTAAAACTCACGTCAGGCGTGTGTGCGTGTGTGCCCAAGATCCCGAGAGGAGAATGGAGGAGAAGGGATTGTGGCGTGGCCACCCCCCTGGGGGGTGATTTCTCGCTTTCTGTCTCTATGTCTCTCTCTGTCTGTCTGGTGAGCGCACGCACCCTATAGCAAAAACCTCTCAAAAAAAAACAAAACAAAACAAAACACAGTAACATTTAAAGAAGTCAAAATGATAAATTTCATGCTATATATGCTTTACCACAATAAAAAAAAATCTTTTTAAATTGAAAAGATCAAATGAAAGAAAAGGAAAAAAGGGAGGGAAGGAGAAAGGAAGGAGACAACCTAAATTAAATTCCCAACTCCAGCACTGATCTAGGTCCTGTGAGCCTGTTACCACCTACTGAAGCTGTCTACAGACATAATAATGATCATTGACTTAGAAGTCACAGACCTGACTGAAACAAATGATTAACTCTAAGATGTTCCACAGTGGGCCAAGCAAAGCCACAAATAATAAAGGTTTCCACTACATGAGCACTAAAGAGATGAGGACAGTCATTCCATGAAGTCTGTTCATGAGCAGCAAACTCCCAGCAGGGCAGAAGGCCAGTGATCAGCTCCTTCCTGTAACCAAGAGGAAAGCACCGCCCCTCCTCCCAAGCAGCTGAGGCTGAGCATCCTGTCCATCAGGATTTACTTGGGAATGGGAAAAGACAGAACCATGGTAGAAAACTTAGTGACAAAACCAGTAGATCATGTAATGGTTACATCACTGGACTCCCATATGGCCAAACACAGTTCAAATCCCAAATCTGGTGGCTTAAAACTCACACCGGATGCACGTGTGTGCATCCCCAAAATCCGAGAGTGGAGAAGGGCTTGAGGCATAGCCACCCCTCCTAGGGGGGTGATGTCTCGCTTTCTGTCTCTGTCTCCAGCGAGCACACACATCCTATAGTAAAAATCTCTCTAAAAGAAAAAACAATAACAACAGTGAGCTGGGCCAGCTCTGAATGTGATGGTTCGGGCAGCTAGATCTCACATGGTGGACTATGTGGTTTGAGACCTGGATCCAGCAGTTTGAAAAACATGCTGTGTGCATGTGTGTTCAAAATCCTGAAACAGTGAAGGAATTGCCATGTCTGTCTCTCTCTCTTCCCATCAAGTGCATTCTGATCTTCTGGCAAATATAAATAATAAAAGAACCCGCAGTGGATCTACTGTGAGGAGCTAGGGGAGATGTTGAAATGACAACATTGGGCTGACCATTTCCACAAACTTTTTTTCTTTGCGGAGAGCACATGCACTCACCAGAAACAGAGACACAATGAGAAAGGACAAAAGTATCCCACACTGAACACGGTCATGCTACAATCTCTTCTCCATTTCTCCATCCTGTTGGGATTTTAGAGCATGCATGCATATGTATTCAGCATGTTTTTCAAGTCAATGGGGCCAGGATTCAAACCCACGTAGGATCTGGTTTCCTTAACTACTAGGCCATGGGGCGGTCACATTCCCCAAACTTTCAAAACCAAAGGGTAGGAATAGCTTCAACCCCACCCATAAAGTATCCCAAATCCCAAAAGGAGCACTCAGAAAACATGTGCTAAAGAAATCAGAACATCATGGGGCCCACGAATAGCCAAAAAACATATGAAAAAATACTCAACATTCCTCATCATAAGGGAGACACAGATCAAAATCATAATGACATACTACTTAACCCCAGTCATAATGGCCAAGATTAAAAAACAACAAAAAATGCTAAGTGCTGGCAAGTATGTGGTGAAAGGGAACTCTCCTACATTGTTGGTGGGAATGTAAATTGGTCCAGCCACTGTGGAGAACAATATGGAGGTTCCTCAAAGACCTTCAAATTGAACTACTACATGATCCAGCAATTTCATACCTGGCTATCTGTCCAAAGGACAGGAGAATGGTCAGTCAGAAAAGCACTTGCACAACTATATGGTATTATCCACAATTGAATGGTTTGAAAAAGTGTGGCATATATACTCCATGGACTACCATTCAGTAATAAAAACCATTTACAGATGAATGGTTTGAAAAGCTGTGGCAGATATACTCCATGGAATACTATTCAGGCATTAAAAAAAAAAAAAAAAAAAAAAAAAAACCCTGGCATTTGCTAGAAAGTGAATGAACATGGAAGATTAACTAAGTGAAGCAAGTCAGGCTATGAAACAGAGATATTATATGTCTCCACTTAACATATACTGACTGTACACTCTATGGTAGAGACTGAAATACTGGAGGACATAAAAGCATTGAAAATTGTTATAAACACTGGGGACAAAGTGGAAGGAGAGTGGGGAAGGGGAAGAGTGCAGGAAGGGAAATTTGGGAAAAAATGAAGACATTTGTGGGACACAGATATGGTTTGTTGCCTGTTAATGATGTTATGTATAGTATCCTCAACTCGTCTGCTGTGTGGTATATATCATGTTGGGTAAAATCTCTTTATAATCTAAATGATATATAATGATTGAATGTATAAATAATAATTAAAAAAAAATAACATCATAGGGCCCAAATATCCAACTTTATTAGAGGCTCTGGGGGTCAACACACTACTTTCATGCCTCCTCTCATGTGTCCTGAGGATTCTGGGCCTGCAATCTACTTTTTAAAGCCATACCGAGAGAGAAAATACCTCAAATGCCTCATAAAACCAAATTTTAGATTCCGTGGAATTCCATGTAGGTTCCCAGGAGCCCCCTGACTCTGGGGGCTCTCTCTCCTAGGAAGCGCAGTCCCAGCACAGCAGTGAGCTGGTGGCTGATGGTCTCCTTTCACAGTGTGGACGCCTGTGTTAGCTGCCCGTGCATATGGATTACCCACTTTAGGACACGGAGTGGGATCTAGATAGCGCTGGCTCAGGTTGGGGGCTGAACGCTGGGGCTTGGCCAGCTGCTGGGACCAGGACATCTTGTTCAGAAGGGTTGTGCTCAGCCTTGCTGCAGCAGAGTTGAGACTCTCAGTGAAGCTGGAGGTGGCTGTAGAACTGAAGGAAGGCTGCTGTCCAGTCTTTCTACCCTCCGTAACCTCTGGGCTTCCTCTTCTCCTGTATGTGGGATGCTGACATTTGAGTCTAGGGGGCTTAGAGGCCTCCCAGGATGTGCTTGCCTTACTCCAGTAGTTGAGGGCTGCCTTAGAGGATGAGGTCCTCCCTCTGCTGGGAGCCCCCTCTCCCACCTGGAAGTCCCCTGCCCTGACAGCTTTCTTGCCCCTGTTGTTCTCACAGGAAGGCTCTCGAACCCTTTCTCTGCCACACCAGCTCTTAGTCTCTGCTGCAGGCCTGGAGTTCCTGGGAGCAGGGAGCTGGGCCCTTGAAGCTGCTGCCTGAATCTCCCGTGGTTCTCTGGCGCCCCCCGGTGGCCAGACTCTCCTGGCCTTTTCAGGAGAGATTGAAATCCCTAGTGGCACAGATACACGTGATGGATGCTTCTCCAGAGCTCTGGCCCATGGAGGAAGTTTTGAGCTTTTTCTTTCTGGGGAACAATCCCCCCAAGACCTTTCTTGAGACCTAAGGCCTGGAGTGGAGTCCTGAGTTTCACAATGTCTTTTTGGCTGCCCTTGGAGCTTCTGGCCAGTGCATGATCCAGGGACCCTCACCCTGACTGGGGGCAATGAGCAAGGGTCTAAAAGGCTAAAGAGCAGATAGGATTCCAGGATCCGCCGGGGGAGGCCCCACTTCAGGTGTGCAATCCGCCGCCGCATAAGAGACTCCAGGAGCAGCCATTTGCTCTTCTTGAGGACTGGCCATTTAGGCAGGCCTGTGAGGACAGTGGCAGCTTCCGGGGCCTGGTCACACAGGAGAGAGAGGCAGGAAGGTGGTACGCCCAAGGAAGTAGCCAAAGACTGTGGGTCCTGGGGCTGCCAAGGCAGGCTGGAGGCTCTCCCTGCATCTGTCCCTTTGCCCCTTTGCCATCTTCTCTGGGGTTCAGATTGGGCCTGCTGGGAGGCTGAACTGGCTCTCACTCTGTGCTCCTTGGCATGGGCCATGCTCTGGCTGGCCAGAAGCTCTCCTTCACCACCAGCCAGCAGGAAGACCTCACCATGGTGGGAGGGAGGCTTCCTCTCAAGATGGGGAGCAAAGGCTAAAGCATTTGCAGCCACTGCCTGCTCTTGTTCCATGGGCCCATATCCAGAGCTAGTGAGGGCTGGGGGCTGTACCAGGCTGTGCTCCTGGCCTGTGGGCCCCTCACCCCGAGAACAGTCAACTTGTAGACTGGCTTTAGCAGCATCCTTTCCTTCGACCTGGTCCTTGTTTCCTTGCCTTGGTGCTTGGGGCCCTCCAGCATCCTCAGCTCTGCGCTTTCTCTGGCTCTCTACATTCCAGATGTCTCCAGCATCCTCCTTCTGGGTTTCTTGCCCTTGTGTCTTAAGCTCCCCATCAGTTTTACTTCTGAACTGTGCCTGGTCATCTCCCCCACGAGCCTGGGTCTCTGTACCACCATCACTGATAGTTCCATTCAAGGTCCTCTCCTGTTGTGTTTGAATCTTTGCACCATTCCCACCACCATTCTGTTCCTGGTTCTTCCACTCTGATGAACAAGTCTTCCCATTAACTTTACTTAACAGGTTCTGGTTCTTTCCCCGAAGTCTCTGGATCTTTCTACGATTCTCACTTCCAACTGCTGTCTGGTTTCTCTTCTTCGATGCTTGATTTTCTGCACTGTTCTTTCCTTTTTCCCCCTGTTCCCAGCCCCTCCTCCCTGGTGAGTGGCTCCCGCTAGTTTCACCATCTAATTGTACCTGGTTCCCTTGCTCAGGAGTCTGGGTCTTTGCACAATCTTCACCTCTAGGTTCTCTCTGGCTTCTTTTCTCTGGGGCCTGAATTGCTGTTCCGTTCTTACCCCCCCTATGTCCCTGGTACTTGCACTCTGCTAAAGGGGTCTTTCTGTCACTATCATTTTTTAATTGACTCTGGTTTTCTTCCCCTGGCGCCCAGCTCTCTGTACCATCCTCACTTCCAGCCTCACTCAGGTACCTCTTCCCTCGTATTTGAATTTCTGCACCCTTTTCACCTCCAACCTGCCCCTCTTTCTTCCACTGTAATGAATGGGTTTCTCCGTCTATTTTACTTGTGAATTCTCCCCAGTTTTCTGACCCAGCTGTCTGGATATCTGCACCAGGCTTGCTACTATGTTCCTGATTCCTCAGTTCTGGTACGTGAACCTTCCCATCAGACTTACTTCCTAATTGGCCCTCATTTCCTCCCCCAAGTTCCTGGGTTTCTTTACCATGTGCATATCTAACCTTGCCCGTATTCCCTGGTCCCTGATTGTCTGTTCTGTGGCCATCTCCAAATTGCTCCTTGTTCTCCTTCTCTACTGGATGGGTCTCCACCTCAGTTTCCCCTCTTAAATGTCCCTGATTCTTGACCTTGAGCACCAGGGTACTTGTAGTATCTTCATTTTTGTCCTTTCTCTGGTCTCTCATCTCTGTCTCTGGTGCCTGCGTTTCTGCCCTGTGTTTACCTCCAGCCTCATTCTCATTCCCCCAACATGATGTCTCAAATTCTCTATCAATTTCACTTGCCGCTGGACTCTGGTTTCCCCACAACGGTACCTGGATCACCACCCAATCCTCCTCTCTTATCTCCCGGAGCTTCTTTGCCTTGGACACCTGGGTTTCCCTAGCATCGCCACCTCTTCCCAGGCCTTGGTTTCCCCATTCCACTTGAGTCGCATGTCTTAATAGTTTCTGGTTCTCTCCTCTGGATGCTTGGGACCTTCCAGCTTCCTCACTTCCTCCCTGACCCTGCTTTTCCCACTGTGGCGTCTGAATCTCCGTGACACCCTCATGTCTCTGATTCAGGGCTGGGATCTCTGTGCCATTCTCTTTCTCCACTTCTCCCAGGTTCTCCCTCCTAGCTGTCTGAGTTTGCCCAGCATCCTTACCTCCAACATGGTCTTTGTTTCTCCCTCCTTCTGTCTGAATTTCTGCACCAGTATTACCTCTAATCTGATCTTGTTTCCCACACTCTAGTATCTGGGTCTCTGCATCATTCTCACCTCCAGTCTGAACCTGCACCCCCAATCCCTGCACCTGGATCTCACCCTTATCCTCCTCTGTGGCCTCATTCTTGTTCTCCCTCTCAAATGTCTGGGTCTCCACAACATCCTCACCTCCACTCTTCTCCTGGTTGCCCCACTCTGGTGTTTGGGTCTCTGAATAAATTTTGCATCTTAACTGTTCTTGGGTGTCTTCCATACGTGCCTGGGTTTCAGGATTCTTACTTCTGGACTCCCTTTGGTTTCTTTTTCCTACTTCCTGACTTTTGGATCTATTCTCAAGCCCCGTCTGGTCCTGGTTCTCCCTGGATGCTGGCGTCAGAATCTCCTCATCAAGCTCATTTATTACTAGTCTCTGGCTCCCACGCCCCAGGACTTTAGCCTCTGCATCATCCTCCATTCCAAAGTCTGTTGGGAGTTGCTGCCCAGACGCCTGGATTTTCCAGTTATCCTCCCTTCTGTTCTCTACCTGGTTCTCCCTCCCTGGAGTCTGGATCTCAGTAATGTCCTCTCTGCCTACTGTCTGGCTTTCACTTCCCGGCATCCAGGCCTCCCGTGGGAAGTCCCAGGAGGGCACTATCAGTTGTTGGTGGGAAGAATCAGGCGGGAATTGTGGACTCTGAGCTGAAGGGAATTTAGGGAGTGAGATGGCTGAGGTCGTGGAGGTATGGTGGAACCTCATGCTGATGACAGGCTCCTGTGGTACCGACCTTTCCTGGGAGTGAACCAGCAGCTGCTCCATCCTCTGGCACATGCCCAAGGCGGGGTGAGTCCAGTCATCCCTGACACACAAGGGTACTTGCCATGCTTCCCAGGAACTCTCCAGAGGGACCAGAGAGTTGCTTGAAAAAGAGGTGGTACAAAAGATGGGTTCGGAGGGCACGTGGACACCCCAGGGCGAGTCCTGATACGGGTCCAGAGAGAGTAGGGATGGGTCCCATGAGTCCTGGAGGTCCCTCCAGTATCCCCATCTCTGCTCTCGTGCCCATTTCTGGACATGAGCATCCGGGCCCCTGAACTTGCCAGGACTGCAGACAAATGCAGGAACCAGCCTGAAGAGGGCTTCACATGTCCTGGGGGGCACTGCCCACTCCTGCAGTGGTGCCTGTGGTGAGAACCAAGAAAAAAACAAACCCTTGTACACCTATTAGATTGTACAATCCCCACAGATCAGTATTGCAAAGCCCATTATCGAGATAAGGGTGCTCAGGTTTAGGAAAGAATCACTTCCCTTAAGGCAAATACTATTCTATCATGCAAGTAGGACTGAGAGCTGGCCCTGGAGCCTGGTAATTAAGGGAGTCAGATCCCTCACAGTCAATTGCAGTTTTTGTTTTGTTTTGTTTTGTTTTTGAGAGGTTTTTGCTATAGGGCACGTGTGCTCGCCAGAAAGACAGAGAGAGACAGAGAGACAGAAAGCAAGAAATCAGCCCCCAGCGGAGATAGCCACGCTGCAATCCCTTCTCCCCCATTCTCCTCTAGGGATCTTGGGCACGCACGCACATGTGCCCAGCGTGAGTTTAAGCCATGGGGTCTAGGACTCGAACCACGGTCAACTACATGGGAGTCCAGCAACATAGCCATTACGCTAACTGAGTCAATTGCAGTTTGAATCCTGGCCTTGGTAGCCTGAAAAACACCCCAGGTGTATGTGCTTTTGTGCCCCCAAATCCCAAGAGAATGGAGATATGGAGGAGAAAGGATTGTGACATTACCATGTCCCATTGAGGGGTGCTTTCTCCTTCCCCTTCTCTCTATCTTTCTGTCTTAATGCCCTTTGGCAATTAAAAATTTTGCTGGCGGGACCAGCAGTTAGCTTAATGGCTATGTTGCTGGACTCCCATGTAGTCAACCGGGTTTCGAGTCCCGGGCCCGGTAGCTTAAACTCACGCTGGGCACGTGTGCACACGAGCCTGCCCAAGATCCCAAGAGGAGAATGAAGGACAAGGGATTGCAGCATGGCCATCCCCCCTGGGGGATGATTTCTCGCTTTCTGTCTCTCTGCCTCTCTCTGTCTTTCCAGGGAGCACATGCACCCTATAGCAAAAACCTCTCAAAAAAAAAAAAATTTGTTGGCATGGTGGCTAAGGTGCTAGACTCCCACATGGCTCAAGTACTGGACCTGGCAGCTTGCTTTCTCACTTTCTCACTTTCTCTCTTTCTCTCTCTCTCTTCCTGTCTCTCTTTGGTGAGCACACATCTCCTTTAGCTAATTAAAAAATAACACTAATAATAAATAGAATTAAATAAATAATTTTTTTTAAATTTTATTTACTTATTCACTTATTTTTGCCAGAGGGCCCATGCACTCACCAGAGACAGTCAAACATAGAAAAAGAGGAGGGGAGGGGTCAGCAAGTGGCATGGTAGTTAAAGTGCTGGGTTCCCACATGGCCAACTGCACTTCAAGTCCCAGACCTTGAGGCTTGAAAATCACACTGGGCATGTGTGCATACATGCCCAAAATCCTGAGAGGAAAATAGTGGAGAAGGGACTGCAGAGTGGCCATCACTCCTGGGGAGTGATTTCTCACTTACCCTCTCTCTGTGTCTCTCTGGCAAGTGCACATGTCCTATGGTAAAACCTCAAAGAGAAAAAAAGAAAAAGAGAGAGGGAGAGAGAGAGAGGGAGAAAGTGAAAAAGCACCTTCCCATGGGGAATGGTTATGCCACAATCCCTTCTCTTCCATTTCTACCCCCTTTGGGGATTTTGGGCATGCATACCCAGAGTGTTTCTCAAGTGGCCAGGTTCAGGTCTTGAACTGCACAGTTAGTCAAGAAAGTCATGATGTCTTTTTTTTTTTGTGCAAAAATGTATCATGACTTTCCTGACGATCCAATAGCTCCTTTCACAACATCATGGGCTGACACACACACACACCCTTTTTTTAAAAAAGAGAGAAAAAAAGAATGTCATTCTATCAACTGTGCTGACTCAGGTCGGGGAGAGAGGAGGCAGGAACAAAGCAGAGGCCCTTACTTTGGTCCAGGGGAGACACAATGGCAGTTCTAGTCAGGATGGTGTGGCGAGGTTGGGAGAGGTGTTCAGATGAAATATGATTTACAATCAGATCCCAGAGGACCTGCAGAGAGACTAAATGAGTAGAGTGACGGAAAGAGGAGTCCTGGGTTTGGGGCCTGGACAGTGCTTTCCCTGTGTAGTCTGAGTTCCCCTCGAATTCAGCTCTGGTACACAGCATGGAAAAAGGTCTTCCTAACAAATGACTGAGACAATTATAGTGCTGAGCGGAGGAGAGGAGAGGAGAGGAGTGTGATGGAGCCCCCTCACCTTGATGAAACTCCTCATTCTTGGGCGGGTCCTGGTGATCTGGTACCAAGAGTGCCGGACCTGCCAAATTAGAAAGAGGCAGAGGACAAGCAGGTTGCTGCAGCACCGAGGGTCCCTGCAGCTGCGATCCTGAGAAAGCAGGTCCCGCACAGGTTCCCACTCAGGGCCCTGGAATGGCCCCACTAGGGCACAAGTGCCCAATAGTGGCAGCAACATGGCAAAGCTTAGGTCAGGCAGATGGTGTTAGGGAGCTGGTGGGATGCAGGACTGGCATGACCCAGCTAGTCTGGGGTGGGGTAGCTCCTGCCTCATAGAGCTCCAGTCACTGAGGCCACCTCACAAAGGAGTCTGATGTCCCAACCTGAGCTCCTGCCACTGACCGTGGCACGATGGCAGAGAAGCATGCCCCCAGTGCAGGATAGTGTTAGGAAACTACCCTAAAGAAATTGTAAAGAAAGCATTTTTTCCCTTTTATTTATAAGTCAGAAGACACATGTGCTTGCCAGAGAGAGAGACAGAGAAAAGAAGAAAGCACCTCCCACCCCAGTGGGACATTGTCACGCCACAATCCTTTCTCCTCCATTTCTCTGTTTAATCAGGAGTTTGGTCAAATGTTCATGCCTGGTATGTTTTTCAAGCCACAAGATCTGGGATTCAAACCATGTGGTTGGACATATGGGGTCCCACTCCCTTAACCATCAGACCAGAGGACCAGCCTGGAAGAAGTTCTTTTAAACATCTGTATCTTCTGTACTGAAAACCCCTCATGTAGATGAGATGATGTAACCTGTGATCTGCTTGATTTCTTTCTTCCTAGAAAATACTTTCATCCTTTGTCTAGATACTTTAATGCATTTGTCCTTCTGTCTATCCATTAACAAACACGTAATAGATGCTGTATTGAACATATGTATTCTTGTTTGACCACTCAGCATCCCTTCTTCTTTGGTCACCGTATCCCAATTCCTGTTGGAAAATTATTTTGCCCATCTCAGGATCAGTGATGATGGGAGAATAAATACTACTGAAGACTGCCTTTCACCAAAGCTTATATTCAAAATATTGACTAGCTAAGCAGGTAAGGCTATTGGACAATCAAAATACACTAGGCCTTAACCTTAGGTGACTAGATTGTAAATGTTCTCTGGAGTTTCAGAAAAGGGACTGTCTGCTGGGCTCTGACACCAAAAGCCAAATACAGAACAGACAAGGGGCCAGCAGATTGCATAGTGGTTATGTCGCTGGACTCTCACATGGCTGACCACAGTTCAAGTCTTGGACCTGGTGGCTTCAAACTCATGCCGGATGGGTGTGTGTGCATGCCCAGGATCTCAGGATCTCAGGAGAAGAATGGAGGAAAAGGGATTGCAATATAGTCATTCCCCGAGGTGGGGGTGGGGGTGTCTTTTTTTGGAGAGAGTTTTTTGCTATAGGGTGCTTGTGCTCACCAGGAAGACAGAGAGAGACAGAGAGACAGAAAGTGAGATATCACCACCCAGGGGGGATGGCCACACCACAATCCCTTCTCCTCCATTCTCCTCCAGGATCTTCAGCATGCACACACACACGCCCAGCATGAGTTTAAGCCACCGGGTCTGAGAGTCCAACTGCGGTCAACTACATGGGCGTTCAGCAACATAGCCATTATGCTAACTGCTGATCCCCAGGGGGTGATTTCTCACTTTCCTTCTCACTGTCTCTGTCACTCTGGAAAACAAATGTGCCCTAAGGCAAAAACCTCTTTAAAAAAAATTTTTAAAAATAAACCAAAAACAAATCTACAGAGGATTGAATAAAAGTTTAATACAAGCAGATAACGGGGCCAGCAAGTGGCTTGGTGGTTAAGGCACAGTGTTAAGGCATGCATATAGCTGGACACAGTCTGAGTCCCAGACACAATGACTTGAAAATCACACTGGGGGGGCCAGTGGGTGGTGTAGTGGTTAAAGGGGCTGGATTCCCACATGGCCGACACTGGTTTGAGTCCTAGACCTGGTGGCTTGCTTTCTCACCTTCCCTTTCTCTCTCTCTCTGGTCAAATTGAAAAATAATAACAAATGGAATTAAATAAATAAATATATTTTTTTTAAAAAAGAAAAAGAAAATCACACTGGGCACATGTATGTGTATACCCAAAATCCTCAGAGAGTGGAGGAGAAGGGATTGCATCATGATGCACTATTCCCCCCAGGGATAATTTCTCACTTTCCCTCTCTCTCTCTCTGACAAATGCATCAGCCCTAAGGTAAAAAACTATACACGCACACACACACACATGTGTGTGTATACACACACACATATATATGTAAGTTGCAAAACTGAAGTAAGCAGAATCAGGCTGACAAACCCTCACACATGAGCAGCTTCAGGTTTTACTCCACATCTTCCCACAAAGGGGGGTTGAAACTTTTTTTTCCCATAAGGTATGTGTGCAAGACAGAGAGAAGGGGAAAGTGAGAAGTCAACCTCCAAGGGGATGGTCACGCTGGAGGATGGCCACATTATAATCTCACCTGTTCAGTCTTCCTCTCTGAATTTTGGGCATGAATGCACATGGGCCTGGTGTTATTTTCAAGCTGCCATGTCCAGGATTCACTGCGGAGTTAGTCATGTGAGACCCAGTGCCTTAGCCACAATACCACCTGCTGGCCCCAGGGCTGAAACTTTAAAAGAACTTGAAAAACGGGGCACACTTCCGGGTGGGGGGAGAAAGTTATCTGAGGAAGACATGACTGCCCCAACTTTAGTTCAGGGAGCACAACTCACCTGGGGGAGAGACATGATTACTCCAGAGTAAAAAATATTGTTAGCTTTTCTTTCTTTCTTTTTTTTTTATTTTATTTTTTTTATTTTTAGAGGTTTTTGCTATAGGGTGCGTGTGCTCGCCAGAAAGAGAGAGAGAGACAGAGGGAAAGAAAGTGAGAAATCACACTCCCAGGAGGAATGGGCATGCCGCCATCCCTTCTCCTCCATTCTCCTCTCGGGATCTTGGGCATGCATGCACATGTGTCCGGCGTGAGTTTAAATCACCAGGTCTTGGACTTGAACCATGGTTGACTACCTGGGAGTCCAGCAATACAGCCATTATGCCAACTGCTGGTCCCATAAAAAAAATTGTTAGCTTTTCTACTGTTAAAGGCCAGTGGCTCCAAGTGTTACTTCAGTTGGAGGGTCTGAGGGACTGCCCCAGATAAGATTTTAACTCAAACAGAACTCTCCTGCTCAGAACTAGTAAAAGTTTATTCCACGGCTGAGCAGGAGAGTGGAGGGTCCCCAAATAGAGTTAGTTTGGTTCATTCACATAGGGGCGTCACCTCTTTACCAATCAACTGGGAAATATTTATCTATTTTAAGAATCGAATATGTTATACAATGTATCCTGGTTGAATGTCACCCCAACTTGTTCCTGATACCCTCATAGACCCAGGATCATCAAGAGGTGGAGGTATGACCCCAACTTGGCCAGCTGAGTGTTCCACCAGGGCTCTAAGTCTCAGGAACAGAAAATAAAGGCAGGAATAAGAAACTGTTATGAAAAATAAAAGAGATTTCCGTGGCTTTGCGTCTAGTCCCCACAGCTAGGACCTGGCCCAGCTCTGTTGGTGAGCCCTGATAGCTATGTGACACTAACAGTTAGGCCCGAGTGTTCTCCTATTGAGCATAACAAGTTTACAGAATATCAACATCAGACCACATCAGACTATGTCACTTTAACTGTAATAATCAAGATGATTATTTAATTATGAACACAGACAAAAACATGAACATGGTTCAAACCACAAAAATAACCAAACATCCTTTATCCTGGCTAATATGAGTGCTCTTTCTTTCTTTCTTTTTTTCTTTTTTTGAGATTGTTCAAACAAATTTACTTAATATTGATTAACTACAAAATTTCATATGCAACACATAGCCATTACAGGATTTGGCCTTCTAGAGAAATATGTAAACGGGCACTCTGTTAAGATTCTGCCTTCTTAGAAAGGTGAGAAATGACCCTAACTCCCAACCCCCCCAAAAATTATCTAAATTATATTCTTTAAAAAGTTCCAACAGGTTCTTAATACAAGAGTGATTTACAAACTCAACTTTTTGCCTTAACATTTTTCTATGAAGTCTCGTTTTTGACTAAAAGAAGACACAGGTTTCTCATTAAACTTAGTTTTAATAGGTCTCAAAATTCTGTGACAGATTTTTGGTCAAGTTGTTTCCATTAAAAAGTACTGATTTTAAAACTAATAACTTAAAACTGCCACACACACATAAAAACAAAATGGTCCACAAAACATTTTCCTTTCCTTCTGAAGGTTTTACGATGCATTGTTATCATTAACCAGTCTCTTACTATTAAACTTAAATGACCAATTGAGACAAACAGTTCTGAGATTGTTCTTCCACCACTGATTAAGACTGGGGTGGCAGGAATTAGGGATATTCATTTAGCCTTCTGAGCTTTCTGGGCAGACTTGGTGACCTTGCCAGCTCCAGCAGCCTTCTTGTCCACAGCTTTGATGACACCAACAGCAACTGTCTGTCTCATATCACGAACAGCAAAACGACCCCAGAGGAGGATAGTCAGAGAAGCTCTCAACACACATGGGCTTGCCAGGAACCATATCAACAACGGCAGCATCACCAGATTTCAAAAATTTAGAGCCATCTTCCAGCTTTTTACCCGAATGGTGATCAATCTTTTCCTTCAGCTCAGCAAATTTGCAAGCAATGTGAGCTGTGCCACAATCCAGTATAGGGGCATAGCCAGCACTGATTTGATCTGGATGGTTCAGGATAATCACTTGAGCAGTGAAGCCAGCTGCTTCCATTGGTGCGTCATTTTTGCTGTCAACAGCAACATTGCCACATCGAAAATCTTTGACAGACACGTTCTTGACATCGAAACTCATGTTGTCCCCAGGAAGAGCTTCACTCAGAACTTCATGGTGCATTTCAACCGACTACTTCAGTTGTCACGTTGGTACAAAGGTGACCACCATACCGGGGTTTAAGCATGCCAGTCTCCACTCGGACTCGACCGACAGGGACAGTGCCAATACCACCAATTTTGTACACATCCGGGAGGGGCAGATGCAAGGGCTTGTCAGTTGGATGAGTTGGTGGCAGGATGAAATCCAGAGTTTCAAGCAGTGTAGTTCCACTGGCATTGCCATCTTTACGGGTGACATTCCATCCCCTGAACCATGGTATATTAGCACTTGGCTCCAACATGTTGTCACCATTCCAACCCGAAATTG